AAAAAAAACTATAAATAATTGCTGAAAATACACTAAATATTAAGTTTAGTATATTAAATATATAATAAATATAGATTAAGATCTTAAAATCATTATTAACGAATATTATTTTTTTGAAAGTTATTTTTCTAGAATTATTAATTGATATAAGTGAAATTGGTTATTTAAAATATTATTTAATTATTTAAATAATATCCTTATTTAAATTTTATATTTTAATCATTAATTGAATTTAATAATCTATAAAATTATAATTTATTCTATTAAGCCATTAAGTGGCATTTGAAAAAGACACAAATGCCCTCTGATTGTCATCTAATTTTCCTTATCAACCATCCAAACATCGACAAAAAATTAACAATCTCAAATCCTTACCTCTTTTATTCAAGAAAGTTGGGGTCACAAGAATGTCCACTCAAACGTGATCCCAACTTTCTTCAGTGGAAAAGGCAAGAATTTAGGACTGTTAATTTTTTGTCAATGTTTAGATGGTTGACAAAGACAATCAAATAACACTTGAAGCGCATTTGTGTCTTTTTCAAATGCCACTTAACAGCTGGTTAATAGCTAGTTAGCGGCAAGTACTAGATTGTCATGTTTAAAAAGTTATGGTACTGAATTGTTACATTTGAAAGTTTGGGGACCAAAGTGGCACTAAGCCCAAAGTACAAGGTACTAGTTGGGAATTTTCCCCATTTTATATTAATCATATTAAAGAAAAAAGATATCATAAACAAAATTTGTTTTCATTGATAATGCAAATGAAATACAAATTTTAAAACCAACAAAAAATGAAATTGATTTCCTATTTGGTCCAAGTCAACATTTCAACTTTTAGGTCAAATGTGTCAATATTTKATGCCATAATTAAATGATAAAAATTAAAAACATGATACAAATTCAGAAAATGAAAAAAACATAAATTTTGCGAAAAAAAAATCATTTGGGTGCATCTCTAATATTGTATATTCATCATATTAAACAAAAACAAGTGTCATAAATAAGAATTATTTGTGTACACATGGAAATATAAAAATGTAAAAAATGTAATTTGAACTATTATTTTTCATCTCATTCAAATCCCTCTCATTAAGTCATATATTTGAGGTGCTAACATCCATTCTCTCTCATTAAATTATATATTTAAGATATTTTTTCACCAATAAATTATGTTATTAGATCTATATTCAATATTTTTAACAATATAAATCACATTTTTTTTCAAATTTGAACAAAAAAAATGAAATTGTCCTTTTGTCTAGGTGGTGGATAAGGTCAATCATCTGGGCCAAATGGGTCAATCCATGATGTCATAATTAAATAATAAAAAATAAAGAAAGATAAGAACACAAAAAATTTGTAGAAAACATTTGGGACATCTATAATATAGAATTATTTTATATACATAGAAATATATACAAAATTTAAAATAATTTGGATGTATATTACTATCTTCATCATCTAAAATTGCCATGTGCAAAGCATGTGCAAATTTACTAGTCATGAAAAAAGTATATAACTTTTATTGAGAACTAATATAAGAGCATGTATTATGCATACAAGCAAGTATTAACTACATACATGCATGGTATTTGGGTTTAACTTTTATGGCCCACATGGAACTCAAGACAAGTATTCACTTTACATGGTACAACAGATGAAAAGAAAAAAAAGATATTAGACCGGAATATTTTTATAATATGCCTATCGGGCTATTACATACATTAGGCTCATGTATTAACCAATTTTGAACAACCAAAACCAACCCCAACCCAATTAGGACGGCATACCCCATACCCATGCCTTATATAATGGGTTGGTTTGATTTTAGTATATTTGTACAGCCTGTTTACAAACCTTAAAGATACAGATTTTTTTTATTTTTGTTTATTTTTTATTTTTTTTGGGGTAGTGGGTTTACCCTGACCTTGCACAAAACCATAACCATTGACACCTGGGAGGGCAGGGTTAAAGGCTCAATGCTTTGAAACACTCTATATAGGGGTGTCATTGGATTTGATCCAACCTGATACAGTCCAATGTGAATCCATTTACAAATGGGTCGTACCTAATCCGGTTCAAATCCAATCCAATATATTAAAATGTAAATGGGCTGTATCCAGTCCAATCCAAACTGAATGAAATAATAWTTTTTTTTTATATAATCTAACAACCATGCTAGTAGAAGTTCAAATTAAAATTACAAAAATAGGGAACCGTTATGGGTTCCAGGGGTCGAATAGCCCGAATGTCCAGTCCGAACGAATGGCTCGCTCTGACAAAAAAATAAAAAAATTTAAAAAACCCAAAAAATGGCCAAAAACCATTCCTGAGCCAAATGATTTGACTACTCAGGTCAATGGTTCACTAACCAAATCAACAATTTTTGGCCAAATAGCGATTTTGGAGTAAAACAGAACCACTAAGGTGACCAGTTCCCAATTTTTCTAGTATGGTCCGATTTTGAAGACATTGATTAAAATCAGAGCTTTTTCACAAATTTTTTGTTTTGTTTTGTTCATTTTGTTCATTTTTTGTTTGGTTTTGTTTTGTTCACGATAGACTACTAATACGGTTGGTAGAAAATACGGAAAATGTTCCCTATGTGTGGTTGGGAGGCGTTGTGAGGAAGAACAGATTCAGACTTAGTCACAGGAGTAGGGATCTTCTACCAACAAAACTCTACCACCACTGTCCCAACCCRCGATTGCAGCCGCACATTGAGAACATCTCTTTTGTTATTTATGCAAAGATGTTTCCGATGTACCATTGCAATGGCGGTTGATATGTTGTTGGCACTGTGTATTCGTTGCTGATCTGAACTGATTCCTAGGAAGATGTTACAAATACACGGGGATGGGGTGGGGTGTGTGAGGTCGGCGTAAAGTGCGCATTGTAAGGAGCAAATCTTGATTCGTCCCAACATGCTCTAGATGCTCTTGAACAACATGGGATTGGATTTGGGGCCCATATGTTTTTAGTGTTTGATCGCTGGACTCCTTTGAACTTCTAGTTATTAAGTTCGATCTAAGATTCTTCCCAAGTCCCGTGCTTGATTTCCTCCTTTCGTATCTAGGCTGAACCGAAGATCGCGTACATTGTGGTTCGACAGGTAAGGTAGCTGCAACAAACCCTAAGTATGATTTTGAACCCAAAAGGAAAAAGAAAAAAAAGTTATGGTTTCATCTTCTCATTCAAAGCTTTGAATTGCAGGAACCCTAATTTCTTTCTCATTCTGATCTAAATTATCCTAAGCAACGCTGYCAGATATTTGTATTCTTGGTTCCTTGTTTATTGGAATGATTTAGGGTATTATCGCATTATTGTCGTCGTTGACATAACGAGTTGCATCTGCTTTTGTTTTAGGGTTTTATCGTCACTTGAATGCTTTTATGGTTATTACCTAAAAATGCTTTTATCAAGAGTTTTGGATGGACGCTACTGGATGATTATTTACTTTACTATCTGAGTTTGAACCTCCTGTAGTAGATTGTATTTCTGTTATTGGCTGTATTGGTTTTAATTTTCTTCTGTTGCTTAGTTGAAACGATTTGTTGAGAGCACTGGATATATATATTTTCTTTTGTTAATGGAGAAAGCATCATCACTAGAGTGTTGATTAGAATTTAGCATCCAAACTGAAAGGCATTATATCTGCTTAGAAGGTAGAAAGTTACATTTCAAGAGCGTGCTTGTTGACAGTACTGATAAACTAATCCTTTTTGGTAGAATATCTGTTTATTATATCTAACAATGGTCAGTACATGTTGGGCGAGTTCACTTTCCATCAGTCATTAGGGTCATCGACATGGTAGAATATCTGTTTATTATATCTAACAATCGAAAATTATAAAAAAAGTGTCTTTTGTATTATAAATATCACTCAGGAGAATTATAAGGAAAAAGCTTCAATTGAAGCTTTATATTTTGGTATTTTTTTGGTCTTCAGCTTCTACTGGTTTGTTGCTTTCGAAAAACATCTTATGAAACAATAAAAAATCTTTCTTGAGCTTTTGGCATTCAAAAGCTCAGCCACAGCCCAACGAAACACATCTTTAGTTATTTTTGACTCTTGCTTCATACTCCTATCTTTTTAAAAGAAACATGAATTTGATAGGGATATCGTTCTTTCCTACTTTCAAATGTGGTATAATAGTTAGGCAAGAAAATAAAAAGCGTTTCTGACAAAAGAGTTGCGTTTTATTAACATGACAAATTGTTAACGACATGTTTAACAAGCATGGAAATGCAGGTTCAAGTAAGAAAGTAAGAGAACGGAATCCATATTAAATTCATGTTTCTTTTAAAACGATAGGAATATGAAGCAAGAGTCAAAAATAACTAAAGATGTGTTTCGTTGGGCTGTGGCTGAACTTTTGAATGCCAAAAGCTCAAGAAAGATTTTTTATTGTTTTGTAAGATGTTTTTTGAAAGCAACAAACTAGTAGAAGAGCCACTTTGTGGGAAGAAAAAACATTTTAGGTTAGATGCCTATCCAGTCCACCACCCCAAGATCCTAGATAGTTGGGACAAGCATTGGTAATGGTCTTTGGCCAAAGTTTAGGGGAGAAATAGGGGATGTGATGACTAGGGTTTTGATGTGATCAAGTAAAGTTGTGAAACTCCGTGATCATTAGGATCCTTGAAGCTAGGCTATGGGATGCTTTTGAATAAAAACCACAAATACTATGGTAAGAAAGATCTAAAGAGCAAGTCACTGACTGCATAGCCATTAAGGTGATACACTGGCTGAAAGTAACTGACTTGTTTGAAGACTTTTCAGCTGAGGATATTGATATTCTTAGGGGAGGGTTGGTAGTGGAAAATTCTTCAACTTCACAGATTGTGGTTCAGCCTCATTGGACACCTGCAGCACAACAAAAGGGTAAAATTGAACTTTGATGGAAGCCCATTGGGTAATCCAGGATCCTCTGGAGCTGGGGAAGTTTTCAAAGATGGGGAGGGCAGGCTGATAGCACTTTACTCTGGCCCCATAGGAATGGGAGATTCTCCGAGGTCTGGAATTATGGCCCTACTACAAGGTTTGGCCATTTGGGGCTGGCCAAGCAATGGGGATTTCAAAACTTTGAGGTGGAGGGAAACTCTGAACTGTTGATAGAATGGCTGCAGACAAAAAGCTTKKCTGTATGGACTTTTAGACAACAAATTTGCTTAGCAAGGGTAGCTGGAATAATCTTCGAGTGGGTAAGGAGGTCAGCCAATTCAGTGGCTGATACTTTGGCAAAGCATACCTTCAGGGAAAACCTTTTTTGGGTGTTGTAACTTGTAAGGGTTGAAAATGTTGGGGGTCAACACTCATACTCTGAGTGGTTGACAGTGTATGTGATTAGCTGATAATTTTAATGAAAGTTAATAAAAAAATCTTCATAAAAATGTACAAATTACATTTAAAACATAAAGAAATTTCAGCAAATAGAGTGGCTGAGCCCTTATTTTTGTCCTAGGAAAACAAGAAAAAAAAGAAAGAATGGAAGAAAAGAAAAGAAAGCATGAAATTTGAGTTTTTCCATGCTTATTAGTTCAGGTTTTGAAGTCCTCGAGGGTTCAAAATAGTATACATCTTGACTGAATCCTAAGAAATAAGAAAAATAATAAAAAGAAATTGGTGTTTTAACTCAAATAAAATAATTTTATTTAATAAAGTTTGTTTTATTATTATAGTCTCGAAAAGGTAAGAATACAAAAGTATCCAAGAGCATTGTGTAAAAAGTATCTTGGTGATTAAGTGAGGCGACCCTCCGTGAGCACTTTATTGCCTAGGCATCACTCTACATGTTAAACTACATTGATATTACTTGATTGTCATGGTTAGGTAGTATGTCCTAGAGGTAGTCTCTATTTTATATGATATTAGGTGGGTTGCTTTGGTGTAGCATTACTAGGCATGCCTTTGTTGGGTTATTTGGTTTTTTATTTGATTGATAGCAACATGTTTGTGTTTTATTGGATGGTTGCGAGAAATTGTTGACTATGTTATAGCATATTTGAATATATAGCATATTTGAATTTTTTAGAGGCCACAAGAAAGTGTTATGAATATGTGAACGCATTGTTCCGCATATTAGACTACCTTCGTATTTCTTGAAATTCCTAGCAAGGTAGTGGATTCTAGAGGTAGTCTCCATTTTATTATATGATAGTAGATAGAATGTCTATGTTTTATTTGGAGGGTTGCAAAAAAGTGTTTTGATCATGTACTCTAATCAAAACCAAATCACCTAGGCATGTACTCACTACTCACAAGGTGATTTGGTTATAGTTTTGAATAATAGCATGTCTGTGGCTTATTGGAGGGTTACAAGAAAGTGTTGTGGCCGCATGAACTTCATCAAAATCAAATCACCTAGACATGCACTCACTGGGTGATTTGGTTTTTCTTTTGATTGATAGTATGTTGATGTTTTATTGGAAGGTTTATTGTGACCATGTGAACACATCACAACACAAGTTAGGCTATCTTGGCATTTCTTGATTGCCATAGAAAGGTAGTAGACCTTTGAGGCAGTGTTTTAAAAGGCGTGGGAGGCGTACGCCTGGAGGTGCGCCTCTAGGCGAGGCGCTCCCAAAACGCCCTGAGGCGTATGCCAGAGGCGCTGACACCTCTGAGGTGTATGCCTCAGGTGCAAGAGGTGTACGCCTCTTGCGCTTTTTTCATGAGGCGTGCTAGAGGCATACGCCTTATGTGCCTCATGCACATCTTATATAAAGACAAAAAGAAAAAAGAAAAAAAAAGGACAGGAAAAGAAAGGGAAGGGAAAGAAAAAGAAAGAGAAGAAAAAAAGAGAAAAGGAAAGAAAAAGAAAGTGAAGAAAAAAAGAGAAAAGGAAAGAAAAGAAAAGGAAAGGGAAGGGAAGAAAAGATAAGGGGAAAGGAAGTGGTTTGCCCCCTGCCCCTTTCGACAAGACCCCCTCTTTCAACTAATGTTATGCATCTTTATTCTTTTTAATATAAAAGATTTTTATTAAAAATAAAGAAAAAATGAGATCCCCCCTTACTCCTCATCCTCCTAACCCCCCTCCTCTTAAGGAGGCTTACGCCTTGTGTTCTGAACTACGCCTCACGTCTCTAGGTAGTGGAACGCCTCACGTCACGCCTCCGCATTTTAAAACATTGCTTTGAGGTAGTTTCTATTTTTTCATATGTTAGCAGGTTTTTATATTATTTAGGGTAGGAAAAGGTATTCACTCACTGCTTCACTAGGTGTTTTGATTTTTCATTTGGTGGTCAGCATTTTGTGTTTTATTCTAGGGTTGCAAGCATAGTTTTCAAGGTGCCAAGGCGAGGCTAGGCGATAGGGGGCGCCTTGTCGCCTAGTCACCTAGGAGATGGATTTTTTTTATGTTGAAAATATAGATCCTAGGGTAATTCCCTAGGTACCATAACCATATTTCATTAATAATTATTCATAATTTTTATAAGAAAAGTATAAAGTTCATATTTAAGTATAGAAAATCAACATATTCATGAGAAGAAAAAGAAGGAAAATAAAATTCAAAAAATATAGGGGATGAACCCTTATTTTTGTTATAGGAAAAGAAAAAGTAATGGTAGTATTATATGGAAGAATAAAATTAGAGGTGTAAAGTGGGCTGTGCCGCCCTCCTTGGTGAAAATTTTGGGGGTTGGCCCGGCACGGCCCACGGCCCAGGCCCACGTGGGTTCGTGCTGTGCCGTGGGCTGGGCTGGCCCGTGGGTCAAGCCTTGGCCCAAGTCGGGCCATGGACCGGGCCAAAGCTATTTTTGCCTATTTATTTAAAAAATTGAGAAAAAAATTAAAATTTTAATTTTATATGAATTTTGATGTATACAATTGCTTATATATACAATAATTAAATAAATTAGTATAATAAAATTGAAAAAAATTGTTTATTTTATTATTATATTATATACTATATATTGTTATTTAATTATAATTTATATAATATAATATATTATATATATAAATAGTATATATGGGCCGTGCCGTGCCATGACGGGCCGCGGGCGGCCCGGCCTGATTAACACCTCTAAATAAAATGTGCTGACTAGATAAAATTTTAAGTTCTTCTTTATTGGTTCAGGTCTTTGAGTGTTCAATATAGCATTTAGCAATGTTTGTGTTGATTAAACCCTAATAAGTAAGAAAACAATAAAAAGAAATTAGTATATAAACACACAAAATGGTTATTTTAGTTTAATAATGCCTATTTTATAATTATAATCTCAAAAAAGAATGAACAAAAAAGTATTTTATAGTAGGAAGTAGAAAATTGCTTGGCGATTAGGCGAGGCGAGCCTCAAAGGGCGCCTTGTCGCCTTGACAACTATGGTTGCAAGAAAGTGTGTGACCATGTGAAGTTGTGAACTCATCAAAAACTAAATCGCCCAAGCATGCACTGATTGAGGTGGTTTTTGGGATTGATGTTGTTTTCTCGAAAATGGTGACACATCAGTGTCACGTTGCTGTTTTGTGGTTTGAATCCACATTCTTTGTTTGGTTGGGCGTTTTTCCAAAAAATGCTGAAAAAATGACCACACCTAGGAAATTGGAAAGGTCTGGTCTAGGAAAACATAAAAAAGGGTGTTTTCCCATTTTTCATACTGTTACTAGCAATGGTTACCTGACATGGCGACAAGAATCTGTAGGTGGCAGCAATGGAGCCAAACAAAGAACATTGCCATTTTCGAGAAAACTATTGTACAATTGCATCACCATTTTTTAGAAAACGGCAATGGAACCAAACACCACTTGAGTGATTTGGTTTTCACTTGATTGATAACATGTCTGCGTTTTATTGTAGGGTTGCATGAAAGTGGCTTGGTCGTTTGAGCTAGTCACTCAACATGGTAGGTTACCTTGGTATATTTTTTTGATCAATAACAATTGCTTTATTAAGAAACAAATCCACGAAAGGAACAAGGAGAGATAAACTCTCTTAGCTCTCCCATAAAGGTACAAACAAACCAAAAAACAAGAAAATTAGCTATTACAATTAAGCCCAAAGCATTGCATCCCTATTCACCCCTTGCTTTGCTAGCCCATCAGCTATGGAATTGGTATTTCTTTTGACCCAAACCACTTTAACTTCAATATCCTGTGTTAACCACTTGAACATTTTCCTTTCATTGCTGTCATTCCAGAATCCACTCCTCTCATCATTCAACCATCCCACCACTAGCTTGGAGTCACCTTCTATGATTAGTTCATGAATGCCCATCTCCTTTGCCCTCTTAACCCCTTCCAAAACTGCCATTAGTTCAACCCTTAGAGAGTCACCTTCTCCAATTGGGCCAGAGAAGGGAGTAATGAACTTTCCTTCCTCATTCCTAAACACCGCCAATTCCTGACGGCCCTGAATTTCCAACATTACTTCCATCAATATTTAACTTGACATATCCATTGCTTGGGGGATCCAAGAAGGAATTAAAACATTCTTAACCGGGACTGAGGAAGCAATTTCCTTCCAATTAGTTTTTTTAAAAGGCATGGGAGGCGTATGCCTCCAGGCGAGGCGCCCCCAAAACGCCTTGAGGCATGTGCCAAAGGCGCTGATACCTTTGAGGCATACGCCTCATATGCTTTTTTCATGAAGCGTGCTAGAGGCGTACGCCTCATGCACACCTCATGTAAAAAGGCAGAAAAAAAAGTAAAAAGAAAGAGAAAAAGGAAAAAAAAAGGAAAGGAAGGGAAAGGAAAAGAAAGGGAAGGGGAAATCTTCCATTGAAAAATCCATAAAAAGATCCAAGGATTTAGTCCAATGTACTACTTTGTTGAAGACCACTACTATGATAGATTCTTTAGTTCTTTCCTTGTCTGAGAATAGCCGTGAGTTTCCTCTCTTCCTAGATAGTCCATCAAATAGCAGCCCGTATACACCTCCACAAAATCCCCCCCCTCTCTCTCTCTCTTATTAGCCAAAAATACTTCCTTTCTTCTTCAGCCAGCTGAAAGTTGTAGAAGCAAACAAGCTTTGCACATTCGACGGAGGGGACCACCTACACCCAAGCAAAGAGAGAAACCAATCCCAAATATCTTTAACAAAAGAACAAGAAATTAATAAGTGAAAGCAAGTCTCACCCAGTGTTTTAAAAGGCGCATCTAGGCGCACAGGCGAGGCGCATTTCAGGGTAGGCGCCTTGCCCAGGTGATGTAAAACATATTACATTCCTGATTCTACGAGCCATCTCTTTGTACCACGTCCCTCGAGGTAAGCCCAAACAAGTCCACATCAGGTCTTAAATTCTTGGTTCTCACATAAAAATAGTAATAATTTTATAGTTTTAATTGCTTTTTAAGAAGACATTTTATTAGGATGAATGAATGAACGTGTTTTACATGCTTGTTTGGGCTTGCCTCGAGGGGCGTGGTACAAAGATGGCTCGTAGAATCAGGAATGTAATATGTTTTTCATCGCATTAGCTATTTGAAGTAATGCAATTGAGAGAAAAAGAGATTGTGGGTTTTATATGCTTGAAAATGTTTTATATATTTGATTTCATTTTTAAATTCTCATTTGAATATGCTTTACATGTTATATTTATGTATTTTAATATTAGATAATAGGTTTTTTAAAACATTTATTTTAAAATTAAAGTTTATATTTTTATTAATATTATGTTTAGCATTTTTTTTTTTTATTTTTTGATTTTTAGCTTTTTTTTTTTAATTTTGTGCATTGCTTAAAAAGGCGCACACTTCGCCTTGCGCCTCGGGCACAAATTGACCCCTGTGCCTTTTTTGTGCCTTGCGCTTTTAAAATACTAGTCTCACCATCAGCTTTACAAAGTACACACCAATGCGGGGAAAACAACTGTTTGATCTCTTCTTTTGAAGCAAGTCACAGCTATTTCCTCTTTCGAGGAATGCTTCCCAACAGAAACTCCCAACCTTGAGAAGAATAGGATTTTTCCAAACCTCTTTCATATGAAAAGAAATGCCACTAGAATCACCAAGAGAAGTTATGGTGTTGAAGAATGAAGCACAAGAAAACAAACCAGAAGGTGAAGGGGTCCAAGTTCGCCTGTCAGATTTAGTGGGGTCCAAGAACACTTTATCAAGAATATTCAAAAGGGTTGATATACTATCCATATCTGTATCCCTAACTGTTCTTCTCAGACCCAAGTCCCAACCCTACCCAGATCCAGAATTGGGAGGTTGACCCTAGAGGCGATCTCTAGTTTTTCATATGTTAGTGGGTTGTTAGTGTGTCATTTGGGGTAGCAACAACAGGATGCATTGGATAATTTGTGTTTTTTTGTTTGATCAATAGCATGTTTGTGTTTTATTAGAGGGTTATAAGTGTTATGACCATGTGAACACATCAAAACAAAATAACCCAGGCAAGCAATCATTGGGTTTTTTCTTGATTGTGACCATGTGAACTCATTTACTCCAGATGTTCAGCTATCTTTATATTTCTTAATTGTCAAAGTAAGGGAGTGGACCCTAGAGGCATAGTTTTCAAAGCATTGAGGTGAGGCTAGGCGACAGGGGGTGCCTTATCGCCTAGTTGCCTAGGCAGTGGCTTTTTTTTTTTTTTTATTTAATGAAAACCACGAATCCTAGGATAATTCCCTAGGTTTCATTGCAAGCAACAACCATATTTCATTATTAATTGTTTATAATCTTCATAAAAAATCTATAAACTTCATTTAAAACATAGAAAATCAACATTCATGAAAAAATGGAAGAAAGAAAAGAAATTTCAGAAATAGAGGGGTTGAGCCTTTATTTTTGTCTTAGGAAAAGAAGAAAAGAGAAGAAAGGATGAAAAAGAAAGAACAAAATAATCAGTTCAGGTTTTAAAGTCTTCAAGGGTTCAAGACACCATAGATGTTGAATGAACCCTAACAAATAAGAAAAATAAAAAAAGAAACTAGTATTGTAACTAAAACTGAATAATTTTTTTTGATAAGGATAACTTTTATTGCAAAAGAAAGGGGAATGGTGTACAAAAGCTTTAGCAAGGCTGTCTACAGACTATTAAGCTCTTAGAAAGGTCTTTAGAGATTTGACGTTTTCAAGGCGTTGAGGGGAGGCTAGGTGATTTTCTTTTTTATTTTTTTATAAAATTCATCTTTCACTATTGTTGTGGCCTTTGCCTAGCTAATAGGTGTTTTTGAATAAAAACCATGAATCCTAGGGTAATTCCTTAGGTTCCAAAGCAAGCAACAACAATCTTTTGCTATTAATTCATGAAAATCATCATATTCATGAATCCTAAGTTTTTGAACATAGAAAATCATCATATTCATGAAAAAATGGAAAGAAAGAAAATAAATTTCAGAAAAATAGAGGGGCTGATATTCATCCGAAAAAATAGAGGGGCTGAGCCTCTAATTTTTGTCCTAGGAAAAGAAGAAAAGAAAAAAAGGGTGAAAGTTTTGAAGAAGAAAATTTTGAGTTCTCCCATGCTTATTAGTTCAAGTTTTGAAGTCTTCGAGGGTTCAAGGTAATATACATGTTGATTTGAACCCTGACAAAAAGAAACTAGTATTTTAACTTAAACTCAGGCCCCGTTTGGCACGTCTTTCTATGCGGGCTGTCGGCTGTTTAGAAGCCTGGCAGCCCACGTTTTTGTCTTTTCCCGTTTGGTTGGGAAAAGATCTAGCTGCCACCCCAAAAAGACACGTGAGCCGCGAAGCCCTTTTGGGCTATTTTCGGGAAGCTCCAAATGGAGCTTTTCGACTTTTATTTTTTATCTCATCTTTGTGTGGAAAGACGCGTGGGAAAATGTGCCTTAACCAAACGGTCTTCAGGCTGCTAAGATCTTAATGCAAAAGCTCATATCGTCTTTTGACTGTTAGGTCTGCCGGAAGACCTTTCAGAAAAGACTTGCCAAACGACACCTCAGTAATTAGTTTAATAATGCCTATTTTTAAATTATAATCTCAAAGATTAGGAATATAAAAGTTCCCAAGGGCACCCGACACTGTAAAAAATATCTTGGCACAATTGGGTCGGATTCTGCAAAATCTGAACCAATTCAATTATTCAGAATTTGCATCTGAATCCGATTTGAAATCTGGTTGGATTTGAAGACTTCGGAGACTCGGATTCAAATTCAAATCTTAATGGATTCGAATCGGATTTGAATTTAATCTGACTCCATTTTAATTTTTTAAAATACATAAAATATAAAAAATTTAATTACTTTTCAACTTTTACATATAATAAATTAATGTAAGTATAACATACTGAACTTATTATATATATAATATAATATATAAAAATAAGTTTTTATAATTTTAAATATAATTATATAAAATTTATATATATTAAAATCAATAAATATTATAATTTAATCGGACTTAAATTTTAATGGAGTCAAATTCAAATCTGATCCGATTACGTAAACACATAATCTGAATCCGTGATAATCGGATCAGATGTTGGAACAGGCTGCAGATTTCTGGGTATCATTGACAGGCCTATTTGTCGCTTAGGTGTTGCCTTCACAATTATGATAGTTATTATTCAATTCCCTCCCCTCGAGCATACAGCTCTATAACCATAGTTTTAAGGCGCCAAGGCGAGTCGCCTAGGTGATGGATTTTTTTTTTTTTTTTAAAGTAAAGGCATATATCCTAGGGTAGTTCCCTAGGTTCCATAGGTTCCATAACCATCTTTTCTTAATAATTATCCATAATTTTCATAAGAGAAGTATAAATTTCATGTTTTAAGTTTAGAAAATCAACATTTTATGAGAAGAAAAGGAACAAAGGAAAGAAAATTCAAAAAATATAGGGGCTGAACCCCTACTTTTGTTATAGGAAAAGAAGAAAAGAAAAGGTGGAAGAAAAAGAAGAAGATCTGTAAGAAGAAAATGTGTTGGTTAGACAAAATTTTAAGTTCTTCCCTTGCTTATTGGTTCAGGTTCTGAAATCTTTGAGGATTCAATCAAGGATCAAAACTTCGATACGATACACCACATATCGGGTGTATTGTATTGTATCTTTGGCGCCCCCAATACACATGTTTACAGGTGTTTTCGGGAACCCATTTTTTAAAATAATATATATATATATATATTTAAAAATGAAATTGAAAAGTAAAGAAATAAAAAAATTAGGGGGAGTATAGTTATAAGTACTGATACACCTATGCCGATACACAGGGGTGTATCAATACTTTGAACCATGGGTTCAATGCAGCAGTTAGCAATGTTTGTGTTGATTAAACCCTAACAAATAATAAAAAGAAATTAGTAATTAAACACATAAGATGAGTATTCTAGTTTAATAATGCCTATTTTATAATTATAATGTCAAAAAATAAAAAAATATCAAAGTATTTTATAACATAGTGCACAAAACTACTTGGCGACTGGGCAAGGCGAGCCTCCAAGGGTGCCTTGTCGCCTAGGTGTCGCCTTGACAACTATAATATGACACTGATATAGTATGTCCATGATTGATACATATAGAAGGACTCTTGCGTTGACTTTTTTTTTTTGTAATCATGCTTCCTATTTCTATTGTACTTACCATTTCTGTCATCCTTACTGGGGTTTGTTGTTTCAGATTTATAAACCTATTTGTTTTTTGGCCTTTTATATTATAGTTTGCAATATTTTTGCATTGTCTTAAATTCTATGTTCTATTTTACATCCAGGATATATTTTTGAAAGTTCACATATAACAAAAAAAAATTCTATTACAGCTATAACATGCGAAGGTACAGTCCACCATACTACAGTCCTCCAAGGAGAGGATATGGAGGTCGGGGAAGGAGTCCTCCAAGAAGGGGATATGGTGGGCACAAGGAACAGAATAATGGAAGTCTGTTGGTTCGCAATGTTCCTCTTAATTGCAGGTAGTATTTCTATAAAGTGATTGTAGCTAACTTTATATTGCATTCTTTCTAGATGTTATTAATTTAAGGAAGATCTACTCCTATGGTTCCTTATTACTTTTACTACTATTATACTAATTCATCAATCTTGGTGTTATCAGACCAGAAGATCTTCGAGTTCCATTTGAAAGGTTTGGGCCAGTAAGGGATGTCTACTTGCCGAAGGACTATTATACAGGGTGAGATTTTTGTATTTGGTTGATAATACAACCCAAATATTTAATGGTATATGGCTTTGTTCACAATGTTCAAGGTGTATGCCTCTCTCTCTCTCTCTCTCTCTAGACAGAGAGGCATGCATAATACACACATAATAGGGTCTTGAATTTGTTTATAGATCTGACTGAGAAAATTGATCCATCAGCCATTGTTAGTTTTGATAATAACTGTTAAATGATACTTAATGGGTTTTGCATGGAATCTGTGTTCATGGTATGTGAATACCATACAGAGGTTGCTGTAAGGAGGGAGATTCTGCTTTGCTATCACATCAATTGTTTTCTGTTTTTTATAGTGAGTCACTTTTTGCAACTGGTTTGTCAGGGGGCGTGTTGGTTTGAAGTTAAAACAAGCCCAAGCCCCGCACTTGATGAAGGCCTACTGTTTAGCATTACTTTAACTTATGGGTCTCCTCAAGGGTGTTAGAGTATTGTTCAAATGAAGAACGTTCCTGTATGAAGAGAAACTATATAATTCACACATCAAATTGAAGTTTGGTGAGGAAGAAGGTTGAACACGAAGTTGAAGGGGGATAGCATGAGAAGATTTAACTTTGGCGCAACGTTGATTTCAAGTGCTTATATTTTCAAGAATGTGAAGAATTTTCAAGTCTTGCATTTTTTGAAGTTGCTCTACATACTTGATTATAGAAGAAAAGGTCAGCCACTGAGCTTGGACAAACTGATTTTATGTTAACACTGAGCACACTTTTGTGGAAGGCCATAAAACTGGTTTCTGTGTATGCTGTTGGTAGGGGGCATACTAAGTAATGTCATTTGGCTACAACTTAGTATGCTGATTTTGTCTTTTTAAATAAATGTTCAAGTTTTTTTATTGGTCAGTTTTTTATTATAATACATATTTAAGTAAATTTTTCATATCATTGGTCAGTTAATTTTTTTATATATTAAGCTTTGGTACATCTGTGCAGGGAACCTCGAGGGTTTGCATTTGTGCAGTTTGTGGATCCTTATGATGCCACAGAGGCTCAATACCACATGAATGGGCAACTTTTTTGTGGGAGGGAGATTACTGTGGTGGTTGCTGCAGAGTCTAGAAAAAGGCCTGAGGAAATGCGCAACCGAGCCAGGTTAAGGTACTCTCAATATCCATAATAGTCTTCTCTACTTTCTTTGTTGAACTAGTCTTTGTTGTTCTTAGTTTCTTTTTGTTCATTGCATTTTTAACAGAGGGCCTTCAGGTCATCAAGGACGGCGATCATCTTACTATGGTAACCTTGACTTCTTCTAAGTGCTTACTTTCCATAATGGTTGTGAAACAAGTTGTATGAGAGGTCATATTTCAGAAATCCTAAAACAGCATGCATTAGGCATCTGCTTGTTTTTGGTAGAAAGGCATCTGCTGGCCTTATATTTTAGATTTTTTTTTGAATGGTCAGAAACCAAGGAAGAATTTTTTTTTTCAGAAAATGATCCATTTAATTGATGATTAGAGGTATCCACTCTAGGTGGTTTTTTTTTGTCTCACGGATCTCCTCTATGCAATCTACAATTTATAGGGTTCAGTTCTAAAAGATTTGCCACAAATTGTCTGAAATAAACTAGGTACTGTTGTACTTATAGTATTACGAGGTTTAATGATGTTTCTCATAAAATTGCTTATGAATTATAGTTTTTTTTCTTATATTCATTTTTACTTGAAGTTTGGCATTCTATTTAATATGAAATTAGAATAAACAATTTCAGACAAATTTTGGCCAGAATCTCTATCTGTTTTTTTTTTCTTGGTTATTTCTATACTATATCATCTTCAGTTGAGTGGTTCTTAGTTGGTGTGTCACTTTAGGTACCTGTTGCTGAGATCTAACTTAGAAAATCATTCAATTACATATGTACATAAAACCTTGCAGATTTTCAATATTTTCAGAGGTACTCCATAACTCAGTTCAAGTATTGTCCACAAATCATATCCAAATGAAGATCAAGACATTTCTCTAAATTCTGGATGAACAAGTAAACAATCCATAGTGGGACCCAATCTCAGTCACATCTCTTGTAATGCCACAGATTTCCCTTCAACAATTCTTCTATTTCTCTTCATATAGCATATGGAATCATACAAAATATTTGTCTTAGTACTTCCTAAAAAGATAGCTTTTTTGAGAAAATCTCTTTTAGAAGGGCTTGACTATGTCTAGCTCTTCCACAGAATGTGGCAAAGAATCTACAAATAAAATCATCAATTGTTAAATTATGGTCCCTTAAATAAGGTGCTAGCCAGCTGGTTGGTAAGGTCTCCTGCTGGTTGTAGCGGAGACTTGGGATTGAATCCCACCTGCACCTGGGTTGGGGAATGGGCTACCCTCTGTTGTGTAGCCCTTCAGAACATATAAAAAAAATGGTCCCTTAAGTACCGATAAAAAAAAGTCCCTTAAATCATTTCTCATTATTTCAACCCATGTCCTTTTTGGTCTGCTCCTTTGTTTTCTAAAGCCTTTGGCTTGCAATAGGTCACTTGACTCACTTCTTATTGGTGCTATTGATGGTCTTCTCTGCACATGACCAAATCATCTTAATACACTTTTCCTTCATTTATCACCTGATGCTCTAGTCCCGTCTTTTCTAGTTTTCCCAATCATCCATCTCAATATTTGCTTTATATTTAATGTGTTCTAGGACGTTCACGGTCCCGATCAGTATCCCGCTCACGCTCTCCACATTATCCTTCATCTTCTAGAAGTCGATACCGCTCAAGGTAAGCTGCTAATGCCTCATCCCAACCATCACTTTTACCATGAGATTCAGTTGAAACAAAGGGATCCACTTGGTTATTTATTTCTTCAGGTCATACTCCCCTGCTTCTAGACGAAGAGGTGACTACTCTGTCTCCCCAAGGAGAAGACACGGAGATGATCCAAGATCTCCAAGGAATCCTCCACCAGAGAGAGATGATGATCACTTGCGCCGACGGTCATACTCTCCACACTATGATGAGGCTGATCGAAATCCAGGTGGCAAGGGCTATGATGAGTAAGTATAGATATTCTGTCTCATGTTCAGGTATAAAAATTTGGAGGATTTCACAGCCCGTGAGCTCACTAGCATTGCAATACCATGAGGAACATTGAAATTTGTGGACACATCTCACATTAATAAGAATAATGGCAACAGTTATATTACTATTTATTTTTTTTACTTATACAGTAGACAAATTAAACTCACTGCCTTTGCTTATTTGCCACATGACCACACTAGTTTTTCATTGTTTTCTTAATTTCAATGTTAATTGGAAAAAAAATCAATAAACAATGGATCATAAGTTGTGTATAAATTGGAAAATATAAATACTAGATTGTCCTATTTAACAATTTAAAAGTCTGAACCACTATAGGTGTTTAATTCGCAATTTGGAGAGTCAGACACTGCAGGCATTTTGGTAAATCTGACTGATTCACACTTTAGTAGAGTCTGTCATGTATTTTGGAGAGTTGGGCAAAAGTAGATTCGGGGACACGACTTGACTCGCTAGTCTCCTCCAAATGTGTGGTGTCCATGCAGAACTCATTGCATGTTTATGCTGCAAAATAGTGATCTATGTATTGGTTATTTTTCTGGTATTATACATTACAGGGGATTAAGAGGTGGGGACAGAAAAGGGTGCACGTGAGGTCCACTGACCTGACCACGGAAAGCCTGCAGTTATGTGAGTTTGATCATACACCTCCGTACTAAGATGGATGTTGATGACCATTTCAGCTAATGGGTCATCAGCGATCAATGTATAGATTGGTTTATGGGGCCATTTGTGTGATCCCTTTAAAGTTCAATAAAAATTGCCTATCCTTTTAGGTTCATGTTTCTGTGCTTTTGTTTAGACGCATCAGCTTGCCCAAACTCTGGATTCGTTCATTTGGTTGGTCTCATGTTGACTTGGTAGTATATATTTGCAGAAAGTCTGCGTATGCTGATGAAGCACAGGCGGGCTGGAGATCATCTCCAGGACGTGCCTCAAGATCGCCATCTGGATCAAGATCTAGGTCGGCTGATTTGTCACCCCGGCACAGCAGATAATTGAAAGGCAAGAAAATTCAAGTAACGACAGTGGTTTAATTGTTTCTTTCAGTTGGTGAATTAGTTGACTTCTTTCATTGATTATGCATGTTTACGTTATGGCACTTACTTTGCATGCAGATCAGATGTAGCTGGCTATTGAAAAGTGGTTCTGAACGTTGTTGTGCACTATTTGGTCCCTAAAGGTTTTTTATTTTTGCTGTGTTCAGATTTTATGAAGTTCGGCCGTCTGTGTCAGCACATCTAGTGTCTAGTAGATTAACCTGTGATTTTATTCTTACTAATTAGAGACTCGCACAAGTGTGGTGGTCTTTTGGACTCGTCTTTTTATGGTTAAGATTTAGGACTAAGATGAAAATTAGGATCTCAACTTAATTAATTATCGAAAAGAAAACGTAATTGGGCCATTTTGATGAATTCGAATCTGGATCTCCTGCCCACGTTTATCGCAGTCACACGTGGAGAACATCTCATAAATCCTAGTATTATGCAGGGAGAAATGTTCCCAATTCATGGGGGGTGATGTATTGTGGGTTTTCGTGGGCAGGAGATCCGGAGTCCCTTTTTGCATGGATCTCTCTTCCAACCGTGCATTGGGATGTGCTGTGCGGTACACTCTATGGGGAACCAATCCGAACTCGTTTAGATCCGTATTGGATTACACTCGGGCTTCTCGTGTCAAGTTTCTAGAACAAAAAAAAAAAAAAACCTCCTATTAGCCTGTGAAATGAACAGTTTTTCGTTTGATTTCAGCCTCTTTTAACTGTTTGGGACATGGTGCAATAGTGTGGAATAAATGAGTTGGGCAAAACACTCTCCAACAGGACCAACACTACCAACGTAATTTGACACCTCACCTCACCATGAGACTGGGATCCACCGAAAAATAAGACCCACTATGTATGAGAGATTGGCTTCTCTCAGGGCAAACCTGTGCTCACACTGATCTAACAGCTTTTTCCAATCTTGCATTGGGAATATTTCTCATGAAATAAAGTACGTCAGTATGGAGATATTCTCAATGCAAGGCAGTAAAGGCTGCTCGGATGGGTTTTGTCCTGACTGAAGCCGAACTCTATGTATGAGATGTGTGGTCTCTGATCATGTTGGTAGGGGGTTGAAACGTGTTTTGTTGTCTGGAGATCCGATTTGAAATGAAATGCCTGATAAAAGAGGGGGTTGTGACTTGTGACTTGTGCCATCCGTTTGTATTATTACCTTAAGATCCATCCTCCAAACAAGTCTATCTCTCTTTCCACTTGTTAGGCACCAAGGATTGAATTAAACTGTTTTTCCATTTTTGTTTTTCAGTATCTAGAGCCTTTGCCACCTTCATATCCATGTTAGTAACTGTCTCACTGTTGTCAAGGTTTGAAATAAGATTTTTCCCTACCCAAATATCATCCCAAAATCGCAAGTTTTATAGGCTTTTAGCCATTTTAAACTACCCATGATAAGCCGTTTTATTGAAAGCTTTCTACTTTGTAAAATACCCAATCCCTTGAAATACCTCTTCTTTGGTTTGCCCCTCATAAATTTTCCTTTGAGAGGTATTTGCCTCTATCATTTGAACCCATAGGTTGTCATCTTGAGTAAGAACTTAGATCTCTCCACTCCAACGTCGCCACTCGCCACATTTATTAGGTTCACCCATTCCATTTTTTTGATAGCAAGTCCCCCAACATATTTTGAGGCACAAATTCTATTCCAAGTATCTATCCCATAGTTAGACACTTGGACTTGAGGAGGGTTACTCTTTCTGTCATTGAGAGAGTTTTTGGTTTCCAGCCTGCTAACTTATGTGTTTTTCCTCGTTATATTGAAAAGTTTCTTAAGTAACTCAAGATTCAACAATCGGGGCTCCCAAATAAACATCTCTTTTCGCCTCTTTCTGTAGAGGGAAGGCTTGTTAAAAAAAATTTATATTGCCTCAAAGCCTTAACAAAACTTTCTAAAATTTCTTTTCTTTCATGAATGGCTGGATAAGCAAAAATCACTCACTCACCTACAGATTGGTGAATTAGAAATTTTGGGTCTCTACCAATGATGTTTTTGGATTTATTTGCTTCTTCGGTCATATCTTTAGTTAGGGCCTCACTGCATAAAACAAAAATGCAGGGGACAGGGGGTCTCCCTGTTTAGCAAAGGTACATAAAAAAGAAAAGGTATGCTTGAATCATGCTTTTGTAATGCTTTCTGCACTACGATTTAGTCTACGGCATGGTTTTTAAAACCGGACTGGATCGGATGGTCAAACTGGAAAACCGGGAACCGGTTATCTGATCAGTTCCGTTTTACCCCAGAATCGTATTTTTTTGCCAAAAAATCTATTGATTTGGTGCTGATCCAAGCAGTCGAACTGTTCAAATCATCCAACAGTTTTGGCTATTTTTTATTTTTTATTTCTTTTGTCAGAATGGGCCATCTATTCGGTTCAAATGGTCAGACCGTTCGACTCATGAACCAGACCCTTGGATAGTTAATTGTTCAGTTTGGTTTTAAAAACCTTGATGTACAGTTCTTGTAGACACTGCTAATATTTGACTGTTAACTAATATCTAATTTTTTTTTGGTAAACATGTTTTGGGACTACACAATAGGGGTAGCCCATCTCCTTATTCTTTTAGGGTTAAATATAAAAGCCTCCCCTGAGGTTTCTGACAATCATAAAATCCTCCCCTGAAGTATCATTTTAACAAAAACCTCCCTTATAGTTTTGAAAAATCCTGCAGTTACCTCCTATCATTGTTCCACCCTTGGAAAATACAGGCCTAAAGCATTGTTTTTTTGAAAATACCCATTTTACCCTTATATCTGTCAATTCAGATTGAGATTTACTAAAATATTCCAAAAAAAATTAATTTTTAACCAAAAAATCCCTAGGCCAAATTAAAGAGTAAAGTAATTAATTTTGTAAACACATTATGATTGAGTAAAGTATAAAAGGGCAAATTAAACATTTTGGTTATATTAAAAGATTTCCTAACAAATAGTAAGGACAACTTTATAATTTTAAAGTCTATTATGGAGACAACAATATTTTTTTCTTGATAATGAACTGAGACAATAATGGAAGGGAAGTAATTGCAGGATTTTTCAAAACTAGAGGGCAGGTTTTTGTTAAAATGAAACTTTAGGAAAAGTTTTTATACTCTATCAATTTGATCCCTAGTCTCTCCTACAAACAGCCGTAAATCTCACCAACTGAGCCACCGTCAATTGGTGTTTCTAAATGGCTGAGATTCCAGTATTGAAGTTGTACCTCATATAGTGGCAGATTGAAGCCATTTCAGCGGTTACGGCTTTAACGGGACTCTGAGTTGTTAATTATTGGAGGGGAACGGGTAGTTTTAGGTGTTCAATCTCTCGTTGAAATTACCCCTATAGCCCACCTTGTACACTTGTACTGGTGGTTTTCCTACACAGGATTAGCTGTTCAAGGTTATAATTTTTTAAAACTAAAATTTAACCTAAAATAAGGGGTTATTGCGAACGTGAGGGTAGGGCTACAGATGGTTTCGRTTTTTTAGGTAAGGATCATCTGGATCCACCCCTTTTCAGCTTGTTATTATCCTATTCCATTCGAAGTAATTGTTTATTGCTAAAAATTATATTCTATCTTTGAATTGGTTTGAATATTGTGGTATTTACTCCAGTTATTAGATGAAGGTCCATAAAATTTATTTGAAGTAGCATGTATTTATGATATACAATATAAACTACTCCTTTAGTCTATTTTATTAATAATTTATAATATTTTGATCATTTTCGGTTTTAATTTACTAATGTTGTTTAATATCCGATATTTAAATCTGATATAAATGTGAGGGATATGATTCAATTTGAATCCAAAAATTTTGATCTGCCTTGTATGTGAGGATTATAAATCTGTTTGTAGCCACATATGACGCAAGTGCTTTGGTTAAATTGCCTTTTCGATACTCTATATTTTGATATAGAGAGTTTATTCAGTTTGTAGCCACATATGACGCAATTGCTTTCAAAAGAGAGTTTATTCAGTTTATATATATATATATATATATATTAAAAGGATATGGTTCTCCGCACTCAGGAAATGGAATCTACTTGTGCAAATAAATTCTACGTGGGAGCATTCATTTCCAATAATTAATTATTAATTAATAATAATAATAATAAACTAATAATAATAACAATAATTATTAATTAATTACAGTAATTAACAATATAATAACATGCGCCCATTTCCAGTAATTAGTTACTAATTAATAATAATAATTACTAATTAATTACAGTAGTTAATAGTATAATTATATAATTACTGATTATGTTACTAATTAATAGTGTAATTGTATTACTAATTAATTACTGTAATAATAATTACTGATTATCACAGTAATTTAATAAATATATAGTTAGTGATTATAATTAATAATTACTGTTATTATAAATATTGTTAATAACTAGATATTTACTTTAATTTTACTTTCAATTAAAATTATAAATATTGCTATTAAAAATACTGTTAATAAATTTAGTAACCCAATTTTAATAATTACTTATTATTACAGTAATTTAATAAATATATAATTAGTAATTATAATTAATTATAAATATTGTTAATAAATAAATATTTACTTAAATTCTACTTTAAATTAAAATTATAAATACTGTTAATAAATATAGTAATTATTGTTATATTCAAAATAATTAAAAATGTTGTTAAAAGTATTGTTATTGATTATTTAATAAAATATTATAATTATTGACTATTACTAATAAATATTGTTAATTTAATTTAATTTTGGTAATTATTAATTTAATGAATATTGTTAATAAATCCTATTCATAAATTTAATAATTACTGCTATATTAAAATAACTAAATAATATTATTAAAACTCTCATTAATGATTATTTAATTAAATAGTATAATTACTTACTATTATTGATAAATGTTGTTAATAACAATCTGACAATCGACTGTTTGACTGTTCGGTTCGAACAAATGGCCCGTTCTGACAACAAAAATTACAAGCAAAAAATTATGGAACCATTCTGGCCACCGGTTTTCAGGTTAACAGTTCGATCATCCGATAGTCCGTTCTAACAACAAAAATTATAGGCAAAAAATTGAGTTTGTGAGGTCCATTAAGTAGTATCGTACGTGTTATGTCATTTGAGCATGTGACTCATACGACCAGAAAACAGAACCATTTTGGCCATCAGTTTTTGGATCGATGGTTCGGCCGTTCGGTTCGAATGGGTAGCTTGTTCTGACAACAAATTATAAGCAAAAATTTACGAAACCGTTTTGGCCACTGATTTTTAGGTCGGCGGTTCGATCGTTCGGTTCAAACGGACATTCCATTCTGACAACAAAAATTATAGGCAAAAAATTGAGTGTGTGAGGTCCATTGAGAAGTATCATACATGTTATGTCATTCGAGCGTGTGACTTATACGACCCAAAAATGGAACCATTCTGGCCACCAGTTTTTGGGTCAATGATTCGACTATCCGATTCGAACGGATGACCTGTTCTGACAACAAAAATAAAAAATAAAAAATAAAAAACAGCCAAAAACTATTGAACGGGCCAATGGGTTGACGGTTCGACCACTCAGGTCAATGGGTCGTTGACCGATTCAATGGATTTTGGCCAGGGACCAGGATTGGGGTAAAACGGAACTGATGCCTGGACAATTTCCAATTAAAAAAAAAAAAGAAAAAACTGACGACCCATTCTGACAACAAAGATTACATGAAAAAAATTGAGTGTGTGAGGTCCATTAAGCATTACCATATGTGTTATGTCATTCGAGCGTGTGACTTATACAACCTAAAAACGGAACCATTCTGGCCACCGGTTTTCGGGTCAATGGTTCGACTATTCAGTTCGAACGGATGGCCCGTTCTGATAAAAAAAATAAAAAAAAAAGACCAAAAACCATTGAACGGGTCAACTGTTCGATTGTCCGGGTCAATGAGTCGTTGACCGATTAACGACTTTTGGCTATGGACCAAGATTTGGATAAAACGGAACCGGTTGCCCGGATGGCCAATTAAAAAAAATAAAGAACAACAAAAAGCCATTGAACAGGTCAATGGATCAATGATTCGACTGCTTAAATCAATGGGTCATTGACCGATTCAACGATTTTTTGCCAAAAACCGGGTCAATGGGTCAACGGGTTGATGGTACCATTCCAACCCTTGCAAAGCAGGGCCCCTCCGCTAGTGCAACATTGTTTTGAAAACATAACACAGTTTCCCAATTTGGTCAACTGTCAGCCTAGCATTTAAATGAAGAGATAATTTGTGTTTAGTCCACCTCAGAATTCACAATGCGATGGTACAATTCGGATCAATGTCAAATAAATATTGTAACACAGATTCCCAATTCACAGGATGGCCAATATGGTCGGGATAAAGGATTAGATGAAGATGACGATGATGGGATGATCAATGAGCCAGTTTTATACCAGAAGCTGACCCCTTTTATATTCAAGGATAATCAGCCACTTTTGCTGGTTTTGAGGTTTCACCTCCCTGATGAACCAGGAAGCAGAATTGGAGCCATTTCCATTTCCAAGTCTGTTACAACTTCAAGGCATTTATACATGGAGTAAATATATTATAGAAGGTTGGTCGGGAGCTCAGGTGGAGTTAGGGACGTGTTCCAAGTCTGGGTTCAAGCTACTCAACACTTCAAACCAAACTCGACCAGAATTCAAGTTTTATTTGAAGTTTTTAACCCCAGGCTACAGTCCGGACTCCAGGGCCTGAATATGCAAGCTTGAACCATGCAAGACCTCGTCCACGGTCGCGTTGGGACCACTCCAAGTGAAGTTTTGGATGACTTACAATTAAKGCTGCAACTTAGGCCGGGTTGGCCCGAATCCAATCCTAACCCAATCCAAAAAAGTTGGGTTACGCTGGGTCGGATTGATGTTCGGGTTAGGGCTAGGGTTGACCCTTTAGTCAACCCGACTCAACTCGAACCTGATTCTATAGTATATGTCGTATATAAATATATGTTATATATAATATATAACATACATTGATTTGTTGAGATGCATGATATTTGTATAACCCCTATCACATAGTATCATGTATTTTTTTTAAGATAATCACTTCACTTAATCCTTACCAGAAAGACTAAAACCTTAATAACATTATTTTGTATTTTTTGAAAATTTTATTCTTCATCTCCTTTATGTTGTTTGTCGCCCAAGAAAGATCTATCGTAAATCATAACTCATAATAAACTATAGTCATTTCTAACACTTGTTTTTCTAAATTTTGTACTAAAAGAACAAAAAAAAAAAAAAAACGTCAACAAACAAATACTAATGAAACATAGGATTAATATATGTAGTGAAAGTTGAGTTAGGCTGAGTTTGGAAGGAGTACAAATGCAAATATGTAGAGTGCAAAACCTTATATTTTGTATGTATTTACACTGTACATATTTGCATTTGTATTATTTCCAAACTAAACCTTAAGATCTAAAATCGAGAAATTCTATGAGGTTTTAAAGGATGGGAAGAAGGTTGGATTGGGCCCAACCTGAAATTGACTTCAGGTTGGGTTAGGGTTGAAGGAATTTAGTTAGGGTTAGAGTTGGGTTGGTCAGGTTAAAGGTCGGGTTGGGTTAGGGTTAGGGTTGGGGTTTAGAACTTAGGGTTGGCCTCAACCTGACCTAACCCAGCCCAATTTGCAACCCTACTTACAATCTACATGTGTAGTACATTTCCTTGTCTTACCCAAGGTTTTTAAAATCAGACTGGACAAGGAACCATTCTGGAGTCTAGTTTCTAGGTCAAACAGTTTGCCATTTGGTCTGAATGGACAACTTGTTCTGATAAAAAAAAAAAACGATCAAAAACTGTTGTCTGAATCAACAGTTTGACGGTTTAACCATCTGAGTTAACGATTCACTAACCAAATCATGGTTTTTGGCCAAAAAACAGTTTTAGGATGAAACGGAACCGATCATGAGACTGGTTCCTGGTTTTTCAATCCAACCGTCCAATCCGATTTTAAAAACACTGGCCTTTACCCTTTGAAGGGGGCCAGGTAGGACTTGCGACTTGTGTTGAGTCTTTTGGTGAGCGTCCCAGTCCCAGATGACTAGTGGGTAATTATATTGGACAAATCTTACAAGAGTCCTCTTGGGATAATTGAAATTTAACGTGTTGTATGGACTTGCGGAATTTCTATTCTCATCTTCCAATCCCTACTASATTATTTTATTTTCTTTTGTCCTCGATTGATGCGTAGACTGATGTTGAGAGTCTTCCGGCCAATTAGATGCGTCCCTTCTACGATGGGCATCCGCCATTAACTGACTTTTATTTTCGAGCAAGGTTTAGCTGAACTCTTTAGCTGTTAACTAAAGCGTTCAGCTAATCTCAATTCTTTTATTCACACGGATTAATTAGGAATTTTTAGGATATACTCTCGGTAGGATTCTGCTTTCAATTCCAGGAGCTCCCTCGTTCCTGTTTCAAGTCTTCATTCTTCAACTTCACCTGCCCAGCCTTTACTCAACTTCAAGCCAACTTAATTGAGACTTGAAGCTTTGACAGTAGCTACCTGGTACAGACGAATAGTATGCACTATGCAGAGATGTCCTTACTCAAGCACCTCCTCAAACAGGACTACTGAGTAAAACGTGTGAGCCCTACACTTAAATCTTAATGAACTCACTCATTTGTCCTGACTCCTGGGTTTGGAGTCGGTCAAAGTCAACCCCGCGGCTTAGTGCTGCTGTCTCCTTTTTAAAGGAATAAATAAAGGTGGTTGGACTACTAGCCTTGACGTACTGGTCTTTTGCCTCCCAGAAGGCCAGAAAACTGCCACTGTATGTGGTCTTTTCCTTGTTTCTAGCTTTATTTTGTGCAGAGACACAGGTCGAAACTAAAATTTATATGTCCATTCCTTCCAAATCCAACTTGAGAGTGGTACTGATACATTTCCATTTCTTACCCTTCATTGGGAGAAGCTTTTCTCAGACTTATAATTCACACGTCCCTTTCTTCTTTTATGTGACATCAATTACCTTCAACTGTTCACCATTTTTTCTCTTTTTGATTCTTTTTTTCAGCTTTTTTTTAAGAGAATGACTGTTCAACACATATGTCAGCTTGGAATTGATGCCAATATGCCAATACACAGACGGGTATTGGTGTTTTATGGTGGGAGCAAGGCAATTCAGAATTCTGATGATGCAGTGTACTTTTCCGTTTTTTTAGTATACCCTTTGTTCAGTCATGACTAATGATTTATGAATAGTGACCACTTGGAAATGACAATCTTAAATGTCCAAACTTCTCCACGAATAGATAAAAACTAAAAAAAAAAAATCGCATCACCACAGCAGAAAAAGAAAGCTAAGAAACACAATTTCACTAACGTTAAAATGTTACAGAACATTTTAAGAGGGAAAAACTACAAGGAAAAGAGAGAACATCAGCTGGGAAGATCAAAATTCGATTTCAGGCTTCTCAACTATAATTTACACGCAAAAGCGCTCTATACCCCTATGCCCTTCTTTTTTCATGATTATAAAAGTCCCTTGTGCTGTTTACAAAAATGTCTGTGAACCACAGATTGCAATATTGCTCATGTTCCTCATTTTCTGAGAACTGGAAATGGTGTAACATAACTTGATTTTGAATACATTGTCAAAACAACAACTGTACAGTAATCAAATAAATATAGGTACAATACATATCCGAATTCCTGACACTTCTTTTTTGTTTTTTGATCTGGAAGCCAACTGGATTTGTTTAAATAGGAAAGATTATATCCAAATTAAGTTCTCTCAATCTCTGCTGTAAAGGGGTGAAGCAGATGGCCTGGGATAAGATGCTGCTTTTCCATTCTGACCTTCATCAGCATTTCTTCTGCGGGACCTGGTTCCACCAGTGGAATGGTTTGCCCGGTTTGGGTGGTTTCCATTTTGTGTGTTCCTCTCAACATCCTTCAAATCTTGAAGCTGCTCTAATGTTGTCACCACCTCATCCATGTTTGGTCTGAACCTGGCCTCTGTGGATAGGCATTGGAGCGCAAGATTTGCTGCCTTTTGGGCCCCGCCCATTGAATACTGGCCTTCAAGACGGCTATCCAGAACACGAAAAATTTTCCGTTTGTTTGTCAAGTAAGGCTTGGCCCATTCCACCAGGTTATGTTCTCCAGATGGCCGATTCTTATCCACTGCTCTTCGGCCAGATAACATTTCTAGGAGGACAACCCCAAAGCTGTATACGTCACTCTTGGCAGTCAAATGACCTTCACAAGAGATGTAAAACAAAGATCAAGACGGGAAATATTGTCTAGTTCTTTGCTAGAATCAAGAATGCAGACAAGCTGACTTTCTAAAAAACTTGCACATATAGGGAGAATAGGAGTGACAATTTTTTATCAGTGAGAATACAAAATAGAATTACTTCTCTTTTTTATTTTCTTTATTCTATATTCTTGGGGAAGAGGTAATAAAACTCAATATCGAATATGCCATTGCAAGCATCAGGTTTGGAATCCTGTTACCATAGCATTCCACCAATTGCAGCTCAGGTGGCAAGCTCTAGCCCAGTAATCATTTAGTAGTACCAAAATACTTGCTTTCCTACTACTATTTTCTAAATACATAGCCTGATATCCAGAGTGGGATAAAGCAATTAGTTGCATCCTGATTTCTACATACCATATCCTCCCAAATTTTGTATAACAAATTTGTCCTCTAGGTAGATACTAGATAGCGTAATAGATTTTTTTATCATTCATTTAATACCATTATAATTCATTCTCTTAAATTTCTTGTTATAGTTTGCCTCTGTGGATCAAACATTAAATTCTGTTATTTCAACATCCTCCCATCTGAAGAGATTCCAGTATTCCAACCATTTGATTGGTTAAATTGGTAAATGGCTTAAATCACCGGTTGAATTTTCAAAGAATACATCATGAGGCCCTCCAACTACAAGCTTAACTTGAATATGAATGAAGAGATCGGAGGTGATTCAGGCTCATTTGCATGCCAAGAATAACTATCTTCTGTCTTAAGATTTTGTCCTCAGGGAAAATAGTACGTCATCCTATCCTATGCTTAATAAGCAGAGATGTTAACCACTTCTCATCTGCACTGTTGTATATACACATAATAATTACATTTAGATTCATAAATTTCACTTTATGCCAACTAAAACGACTCAGAAGCAGACAAGTCTGCCTCAACCAGATTAATTTAAAACCACACATGGGCATGCAATACCAAAGAAAAAAGAAAAATCAAATGTATCAGAGCAAACAAATGTTGGATAATACCTGTAGCTAGGTACTCTGGAGCTGCATATCCATATGTTCCCATGACTCTGGTTGAGACATGGCTTTTATCACCTGTTGGACCATCCTTGGCCAACCCAAAATCGGAAAGCTTTGCATTATAGTTCTGTGAGTTTATTCAAAAGAAGTATGAGTGCATCAACAAAATACTACTTAAACCATTCTTGTTATCTAACTAAATGCAATTTTACAAAAATTTGCAAGCAAAATGTGATTTAAAGTAAACATACAGTATACATACTGAATCAAGAAGGATGTTAGATGTCTTAAAGTCCCTGTAGATGACTTTTGTTTCAGCACTGTGAAGGAAGGCAAGACCTTTGGCAGCTCCAAGAGCAACCTTCATCCGGAGGTTCCAGGAAAGTGGCTGGAAATAAGATCCCCCTGTTTCAAGAACACAAAGGTATTAACAAAATAGAAATTGACGAGTTCTACATAGATCTTCCTTCAAAGGGAAAAGAGAAGAAAAACATGGAATTGAAATAGTACAACAGGGAAAAAATAACTAAAAAAATGGTATGATAGGGATAAAGAAGCTCACTCCTGAATAGATGATTCTCTAAGCTTCCCCGAGGCATAAACTCATAGACTAGAAGCCGATGCTCATCCTCTAGGCAATAGCCAATCAACTTCACAAGATTAGGATGATATAACTGCCCTAGGTAATTCACTTCTGCCTGCGAGGCCAGCAAAATGTTAAATAGCATTCTTAAAAAAAGAAAGAAATCTGACATTTGAAAGACTTAAAATTGTGACAACTACCAAGTTCTAACTTATTTAGTTTAGCACGGTCAACCAGACTAGTGCAATCGCAGAGGAGTATTCATGGACAGTTGGATACCATTCACACATAATATCTCTGCATGCCCAATTTTGCTCCACTCAACTAAGAATTTCTGAGTACTGCCACTTGAATACGAAGATACAGTCCCCTAAAGTAGGAGGATGAATCGAATTTTGAAAAGTGCAAGGCCTAAGAAGGGGAATACTCACCAGCCATTCCCTATGACCCTGATAGCCTTCTTGGTTAAGCCTCTTAACGGCGATAATCATGCCAGTTCCGGGCTTGGCAGCAGTAAGTGCATTTTCATCAATCCAACCCTTAAAAACTGATCCAAATCCCCCTTCTCCCAAAACACTGTCAGGCCGGAAGTTTCTTGTGGCCATTTTGAGTTCACTGAAACTAAAACTCTTTAAATTGGAGGACGGAATGATCTCCCCTGCACCACGAGGAGTTAGAGGCACAGAAGTAGCTGAGGCCCTGCTACTTGAACCACTTACGTCATTTCCATCTTTGCTCACACATTTCGAGTTCACCCCTGAAGAGCCATAAAATGATCATTTAATAAGTTCATGTACCAAAGCCAGACAATAAAACAAACTAAAGAAATAGAAATAACAGTTGATTATTGACAAACTTAATTGCCGACCTAAACATTATATTTCATAAACAACGATCAGTAAAAGTATCACAAAGAAGGAATCGGAAATTTTGAGAAAAACCTCCTTCTAAAGCATCTTAGAGATAAAAAATAAGGTTCCCAAACCTAACGATTCCCAGTAAATATGAGAGAAGATATTCCACGGAAATCTAATTTTCAGGTAACAAAAATCCAAATCATTTAAACAGTCAATGAGGTGAACTGTTGTTCAAGCTACAACAGAAAATCATTGTTTCCGGTGAATGAAACTCATCCACCTAGAAGAAAAAAACTATCAAGCAAATCCACATATACACCAATCATTTTCTTCAGATAATAGGAAAGAAACCCAATTCATTTAAACAGTCAATGAGGTCAACTGTTGCTCCAGCTACAACAGAAAATCACTGTTTCCGGTAAATGAAACTCATCCACCTAGAAATCCTCATTTACTAGCACAAAAACAATATCTTGAATGAAGATGACAAAACAAAAATGGAACTTCTACGTTCCAACCCAAAACACAAAGCGAAGTGGCAGAGGGGAAGAGAAAGACGGACTTCAATCCAGAAACAGCGACAAATATTTACTCAGAGAATTAAACGTCAAAAAAGGGGTTTCCACAGAAACCAGTCTCAAGAAGAGCAAAGTTTTAGCTGCCATGATTCAAAACCCGAAAATTAACAACAGAAAACRAAGTACCACAACAATCCGGCTTCAACAGCTATAAGTATCAACAAGTTAAGCCACTAAACTCGTAAAAATCTACATTTCAAGCAGGACAATGCTGAACCAGGTAAAGAAATCCTGTCAAAAGCGTCCAATACCTGTATGAAATGGACTCTCGGCTTTGATTCGAGCACTCCAGCAAGCCCCCATGGATAAGAAACCGCGAAACCAAGCTCTTATTTCCTTTCTTTACGACCCCCTCACCTCCTATAGATCACAAAACCAATGATTTAGGTGCACATGACTGGTAAAAAAATAGAACCAGATCCATGAAACAAAGCAGATCTAGTGTGAAACAAGCTTTATTCTTTAAAGTTAGGTGTAATCCACGAACATAACCTTCCCAGTTGATTTGCTTTGCCTACATATTCAATTAAAAAGAAAATTCAAAAGAAACAATTAATAGACTACTGAAAATGAAAAAAAAAAGGATGAAAACAATCACCTTCTTTTCTCTACAGATCGAGCAGAAGCTAGTAACCGAACTATAGAGATTACAGGAGATGTGCTTTATTTTTCTTTCTGGTGTTCGTGGTGGAATCAACAGAGACGCAGAAGAGAGAAATGAAAAGGGGGAAAGAAGGCGAGGTTCGTTTTTGGTGTTCGTGTGTTTCTTGGAAGCTCTTTTAGACCTTTCCGAAGCCGAGACAGTTTGACCTGGCTTAGTTTTTTTCCTTACTGCAGCTACGGACGGGGAGAGAGAGAGAGAGAGTGGGCATTAATGGCGGGCTGGTCCCGCTCAGGCTTATCCTTCTTATACTTTTGGCCACTCTTTCCATCTCTCGGTTCAACACGACAACCCCTGTATTGTCTGCAGTGAATCTTAACCGTTGGATTCCGATGAATGATTACACATTCAAGCCGATTTATTGTTGTCGGAACTCGGAAAGTTCCGTTGTCTACTGTCGGCTCGGCTTGGCCTCGTTTGGTTTTGGTTGGGCCCTTTCCCTTGAATTTTTCCAGACAATCAAAACTTTAGAAGGAAAGAAAAATTATAAAAATTTTCCCTCTATTTACTGAAAATCTCAAAATCCTATAGACCTCCCACATATTTATAGATTTGTCAGAAATTTCAAGGGAGGTTTTTATAATTTTCCCTTTTAGGAATTTTAGATTTGGTAAGATGGGCAATGGGCTTGGGCCATGGATTATGCCGGTTCCCATGTGGTCATGTCCTTGTTTTAGTTTAATAAGTTTGGTTAGAGATATACCGTATACCGTATATACCTTTTAATTAAATGGATAATAAATAAAACATGTAACAAACGTTGGGACAAGAATCTCTGACCCATTTAATTAATACAAAACTATAAATTAAACCAAAATATTTTTGGCATACTTGTCCCAATATTTGTCTTTTTTTTTTCTGGTACTCTCATTTATCCGTACAATTAAAATTAATTTCCCCATTTAATACTTATACGTACAAATATTCATTCATATATTATAAAATACACTTGAATAACAAAACATTTTATATTCTGATATTGTATTTCTTTTCAATCAAATTAGTTTTTTAAACAAATTATTTAGAATTTTGAAAATAAATTCCATTTCGTCTTAACTTGGAATTGGATTTCTTTAGTAGACTGTTTTAAAGTGAAATACCAAAAGAAAAAAGAAGAAGAATTATGTAGTCCTTTTCACTTTTACAGAAGAATATTAAGGATAAAAGAAGAATCTCCACAAACAAAAACAAATATTAATAGCCTCTTTTTTCTTTGTGAAGAAGTTAGGGTTTAGCATTCGTGGCTACACCCTTAATAAGGATTTCAAATAGGCCTCTGTTTAGTGTTAGGAGGAGCTTAATAAAAAAATCCACGTGGCAAGTAGAATCCAATGAGCGAATAGTGCTTCGGTAACTGCTCTCTAATTAATAAATAAACACATGGAAGGAATAGAAATAGGGGAAAATGGCAACAAATGAAGAAGCAATGCATTTGCCATCATCATGTGATGAGGGGAATCAGGAAACAAAAGGCCACGTTTTTGGTTGGGACGACAATATCTGGAAGACTAAAAGCAAAGTCACAGAAACATATCATGAGGAAACAATTGTTGATGCTTTCGATGTTAAAAATAATTGTACTTATACTTTGGAAATTTGTGGAAATAGGGTGTGGGGCCCATCTTAAATTTCTTTAGATTTATTGTGGGAAAAGGAAAATACAAGTCTTTAGCATAACCTGATTGGGTCATTGGGATTTGGTTGAGAAGATTTTTGTTGACTTGTCTGTTTCATTTCTGTTTTGTTTAGTTGTAAAAAAAAAAAAGTGGTGTAAATATTTAATGATGGGCTCCAGCTCTCAAAACACGGTGTGCTGTGCGAGAGGAAAGGGTCCTCAACCCAATAGCTACATGGAGTGAGTTGGGCTTGGGCCAAACCGACTAAACAACTATATTATCAACCAGACCAGCTAAGCTAAGCTATAATCATGAACTTTGACTTTCTTATACGGAAATTACCGAAGCAATGCTAAAATAAAGTGTAAAATAGTAATTAATTAATCATTTTTATTTGTAAACTTCTATTTTTGTAGTATTATCGACTATATTCTACTTCTATAGTCTTCTATACATGGCAGAGTTGGCAATGTAGATGTAGAACCACCATGGTATTACGTACACGTGGTCTATTGGAGGACGTCAAAAGTCAAACGTGATGAAACAGATCAGTACCATTAATCAGGTAGACCTATCTTTGTGGGGATTATGTAGTACGGCGTCATGGGAATGGGATATCAAGTTGACCACTAAACGTCACGAGATAGGAGATACCTTAGCCGGGTAGCGGGCCAGCCCATCATTGATTGCATGCGTAACATCTGTTAGTCCATGACTCCATGTCTCTGCAATTGCAAACCTCCAACTTCCAAGTTCCAACCCGGCTCCCCTACCCTACTTGGTCTTAGTGTCATGTCATGGTGTGAAGAAAAGAAATAGAGAAAGCCAGCTTAATTGCTTGGGCTTGCCCGAGACGGCTCGAGCGTCGAGATAGCCGGGGGAATCAGCGAGCGAGTCGTTGCGCCGGGTGCTCCCCAACCCTGCTGTCTAGACTTCAGCGCCTTTCGGGACCAGAGTCACTGGACGGTTCACGGCTCACGATTGGCGAATGGCGACTGCAAGTTGCAACTTGCAAGCAATAAAAGAAACGTAATAAATATTAAAATAATAAATATTCTACATCTTTTTTTGTTAGAATAAATATTTTAGTTGGAGAGAAGGTTTTAGGTAGTGGAATTGTAATCAAGATTAAGAATATATATATATATATATATATATCCGGGCTTTGCCTTCATAACAATGGGCTTAGGCTAAGTCCGGGTCTAGCCTGGCTTGCATTATGGGCCTAAAAATATAAGCCCAGGCCCAGCCCTACATAGGCCCAAGCAGGGTCGGGCCAAGGTTTCGGGCCTAATTGTTGTATTTTAGTTTTAAAATTAAACAATTGTATTTTTTTTTCACTTATTGTCGTGGAGACCATAGTAACCTGTAAGAAACTTTAAACTTAATATCAAGATAAAAGCTTTTAACATAAAAGATAAGTTTCAATTGGTAATTARTATGCTAAAAATGATAATTTTAACAAACCAATTCTTCTATCAACAAAAAAAATCAACCTATAACCTATAATATCTATTAAAAAATAACCATCCATTGTCATGTAATATCCATAAAACAACTTTAGACATCTCTGTAAGGGGCTCCATCTTCCATTCAACTCCTATAAATAAAAAGTGAAATAAAAAATATATTTACATACTAAGAAAAAATAGTTCAAATTAATGTAAATAAATAAGTAATAAAATATTGCAAATGATTTCAATTTTACCCAAAACTTGCAACCACTCTAAACTTCAGGTTTATCTTCATCGATGGAGTCTTTATCACTAGAAGATTCGTCTTTTGGTGAGAGAGAGAGAGAGAGAGAGATATTGGGCGTGGCGGTGGTTTTGTGAAATTGGTGAGAGAGAGTGGAGAAGATTAGTGTTTAATAATTTTTATATTTCATTAAGTACTATATTAGAATTCGGTAAGATCTAAGACCGTAGGATTAAAATCTATAATCTCCTACAAATCTCTAATAATCTTTATTTTATATATAAAACATCAATTATCAAATTTTTTTAATAACATATATACATAAAGATAGGTCAGGCCTAAAAAATTAGGCCCAAGCCCAGCCCTAAATTTTGTGGGCCAAGGCTCGGGCTGGGCCTTAACATAAAAACCTAGGCCCAAGCCCGGATTTTCCAAGCCAGGCCATGCCTGGCTGAAATGATCACCCCTAGCTACAATGGCCTAAAAAGCCAAAGGTGAAATATAAAAACCTCCCCAATGTTTTTATTTTAACAAAACCTTCCCTCTCTACTTTTTGAAAAAATATGCAGTGTGACCCACAAGTGAAAGAATACCATATGTTAGCTACAAATACAAGTTAAAGATATTTTGAGGGTATTTTAATATATTTATGTCTGAATGGATAGACAAAATAGTAAACTTGATGTTTTCAAAACACAAACACATTAGGTTTAACATTTTCTGTCTAGCACAATAATGAAAGGGAGGTGTATGTAACTGTATTTACAGGAGAATAAGGGTGGCTTTTATGATTGTTAAAAAACTTAAGGGAGGTCTTTATATTTTGCCATACTGTTATCAGGAACTTCCGCACTAACGTTTATTCTTTGATTATTGTTTGTTTTAGCGAAAAATAGATTATTCTTATTTATTTATTACAAAATCTAAGGATAATTTAGAAATGAAAAATTTAACCAAAATTTCAATCATTTTGTTTTAAACCAATTGAGTGGTTGTAGAATATGTGCATTTTAAGGCAAGAATCAAAAGCAGGGCAGGGATCTCACTGACTTTGCGTTTGGGTTCCTGATTGATATATTGGAAATTGGATTACAAAAATCTTATAGGTAAATAGACATGAAAGACATCCGGTTCAGTCCTCATGAAACTGTGTTCACAGTGTGAAGACACTTTTGTGAGGACTGAATCTGGTCGCCTTTTAGAGTGTTCACACGGTTTTTGCTTTTCAGGAGATCCAGGATCCACTAGGCCAAGTCCTCGCCCCAAATTTCCACAGCTTTCAAACATCACAAGAAAGACACAAGACAAGATACACGATGATATCTGGATAAAATGTTGGGTGGGTGTAAATAAAGGACTTGTCTCAGAGTCTCACATATATGCGGATGCTGTTAGGCTATGTTTGGTTTGAAGGAAAAAGGTAGGAAAAGAAAGAGAAAGATAGGAAAACCAATACAAGGTTTGTAAGGGTTTCCCTACTTTTTTCCTTCAAACCAAATATAGCATTAAGATAAGGGATGTGATGGAGATGTCCTGCAGTGCAGTGCTGAACAAGTCAATGGAAACAGGGGTGATCACTGAACAACCAACCAAACATTCATGGTAGATAACACGTTTCATTTCACCCTGGTCCATGGGCTAGGTTTACATTGGCCGGAAGTGGAGCCCATATTACATTGCCAATGAATGGGCTGGCTTCCGTGCTTGGGGGGTGTGGATCGGAGGAGACTTTTTCTTGTCTTCATTGAGGGGAAGAACGAAGAAAATATGACCGGTCACGTGGAAACACAATGACTCATCTAAGACCTCTGACTGTGATACTCATATCTTTGTACAAAGCAGAAACAATTAACTATTTACTACTCTTTGCTAGAGTAACAGAGGAAAACAGGGCTGTGTTGGGTCGGCCTAAGCGGATCATGATATTATTACGGCCTGTGATTTTTTAAGACCCACAGGATGCATGCAGGGAAAAAGAGTCAAGCAAAAAGGATTTCTAATTTCTATTATTCTATATACTTGTGGATGGACCAAGTCAAAGTCAAGCGGATGAAATGGACCCTATCCATTATTTAAGTTTCAATCCATTTCTTAATATTGATTTTTGCCATGAGTCATGAAAACGCTCCTGCACTACTGTGCCAGAAATCAAGAAAATGAAAAATAAAAAACGCCAAACAAACAAGAGTACAAATTTAGCGTGGGTGGTTTAGCAATTTGCCATGAAAATCACTATGAATTTAACTATAGACACTATACAGTCCAAACCAACAGATGAGTTTTTATATCACCAGGTTTCTCAACGTTGAATATCTCAATTCAAAGTACAATTCAGTTATTAGATAATTAGGGGTGTCAACGGTATTCAAAAATCTGATTTGAGTTTAAGATTCGATATAATTGAATTGAATTTGGATAATTCGAATATCTAATCGGATTCGAATTCGGATATAACCTAATTTGATTTAATAAATATCTGAATTTGACTGATTATTTAATTTTTATATATAATATATAAAATATTTAAATGTGTTATATAATTTATAATAATTAAATTATATAAATAATTTATATATTTATATACTTTATATAAATAAATAAAATGCTTATATTATATATTTATTAATTATTTAAAATAATTAATTAGTCAAATTTAAATTGAATCAAATATTCTAATATTTAATCAAATTCAAATTCAAATTCAAATAATTAATATTTATCGAATATCGAATTTTCTAATTCAATTCGAACTCATATATTGTCTGATTTGATTCGAATTGGAATTGATGGAATAAGGGTTCTATGTATGAAACCACCTTTCATTAACAGCACATGAACGATAAAAGAATACTTCCAGTGGATATTCTTTTAGTCAAAAGACAAACTAGGTACTAAATGGAGTAACAGCATATCAGCCCCTGCTATTTTTTTTATTAACAGCCAAAGTTTCCAGGTAAGAAAGGCAGTGGCGAGGCTATGATACAGGGGTGCTTAAGGCTCAATTTGGAAGGAGTATAAATACAAATATGTAGAACGCAAAACCTATTTTGTATATATTTGCACAGTACATATTTGTACTTCTACTCCTTTTAGCTGGATATCAAAGTAGAACTTGGCTTTTTTGATGCTGTTTGTCTCTATTATTTATGGAGTAAAATTTTATCGCTCATCTCCTTGCTTCTCAAAAGTGTTGTAAAGAGGAATGCCTCCTCTATCCCCCATTATGGCTTCTGCCATTGCTTGGAAATAATATCAGTTTAGATCAATTTGAAAGTTTAACACCCATTTGTGAAGCAGATGCCACCCTAGACCCTAGCGAATGGAGGTGCCACGGCCACCCAAGCATAGCGGGGAATAGCAGAAAAATTATCAACATACAAATAAAGAATTGGTAATCTAGACCAAAAAGGTGGAATAGAAAAAAGGATACTCTCCGATTTATTAAAACTCAGAATTCTGCTGTCTTACATCCAGTTTACTTTGACATACCAGCCATGCTACATAGTAGTGGCTCTCAAAGGTTCCCTTTTAAAGAAGCTACAGCTTGCTGTATTTCTCACCAAACAAAACCTCTCAACCCCTAAATAATGCATGTGATTCCAAGCTCATGCGGTCTTCACAGTGGCTGACTTGATGATGTCAACAAACTCCGGCTGAAAAAAAAAATGAGGAAAAATCTTAGCTTGTAATAATAAAGATAAAGAACCAAAACGGAATGACGCAAGGTGGAAGAATTCAGCGATATGTGGTCAAATTTGCAGCAAACTTCAGTGAGTAGAAATGTAGAATTCTACCCCCCCCCGGTCCAAAAAAATAAATAAAACAAAAAACAAAAAACAAAGAGTTGACGATAATCTTTTGACAACAATAGTAATTACCTTTAAAGAAGCTCCACCAACCAAAAATCCATCAACATCAGGTTGTGCAGCCAACTCTTTGCAATTGGCACCGTTTACAGAACCTGAATAGAAATATTAACACTTTTTAAAATGTGAAATTGACATCATTTAGAAATTAAATCAATTCACAATTCACTGCTTTTGCATTCCCATTGCTGTTAACATTTGTTGCTATTGAAGCAATATAGTAAAATTTCATTCATTGTTACCAAAAAAAACACTGAAATTAGTTGGCATCAACCTAAATTATACAACAAAGACCATCTCAGACTTGCCACTCAACCCGTCAACTTTGAAGGCACAAATGCTCTCTCTGAGTGCAGTCCAAGGATGGCTATGGAAATCAGAACTCTGGTTCGTGACATCCATTTTGAGATTGGGACTGATTTAAAGATCCAATGGACTCGTATTCCTAGAAGTCGAAATCAAGCAGCTCATTTCTTAGCAAGCAGCCAATGCCCTTTCTATGGGCTGTGAACTATAGACCCCAGGCTTTCCTTATGATCTTCTATTGCATCTATCTCATTTATGTAACCTGGATTCGACTATTGTTAATCCTTCAAATTAAAGTTTTATTTACCAAAAAATAAAAAACTTGTCAACTTTGCAGTCTCACAAAGCAAATGGAAAACAAATACCTCCATAGATAATCCTGGTTGAGGTAGCTACTTCAGCACCAATATTCGATTGAAGCCATTTCCTTAATTCAGAATGCACCTGTTATACATATAAACACAATTAGTGCAAGAATATGAAATAACTGATCATTGGAGCAATTTGCAGCAATACTCTTCTCCAAGATATTATTAAAACAAATTTAGAGATGAAGCATGTGATGTAGGGAATCTAACACAAGCACAGATAAAATTCTAAGGGTGACTGCAGATCAGTTTATAAATGGTCAAATACTTCAGAAATGTGTCACAACCAATTTGTGTCTCCATAACAGGACACATCCTAAATCAACTATCAGAACCTAATCATCGACTGGCAAGAATAGGCCTATAAGATCTCTTAGGTTAGAGGACCACTGTAGAGTTCCCCAATATTAGACATCCATCTCACATGTGCCATATGACTCATTGTTTATTATCTTTGTAGGTGTCTTTGTTGACAAATTACAGAGAAAATGTGAACAAGAATATATAGTTGCAATTCTCTAGGTGATAATCTACATGAATGAAAGTTGTATGATATTCAGGTTGAATACAAGTGGAGCAAATCTTGATAGTTACTTACACATGACCATACAAGATGCTGTCAAACATAAAATTTTTACCATTGGATTTCAAAGCCCTCAAAAAGCTAAAATAGAAAGGACCAATACACATAAATACAATTTTACATGAGAATAGAAGGTTTTCAATAATAGTCCTATGATATTCAGTCATTTGAAGGACAATGTGCCAACTGCCAAGTGAGGCTGACAGTAAGTTCCTCTGGATTGCCCATGAGTTCAGGGGCTTACTCACATAAGCTCTATGCCAAGCCTAATCCTAGAAGTTACAAGTTCGTAGTTTAAGATAGAGGATGAATCTATTAGTCAAATCACTTAAAGAAAAATCTAAATAACCCAAGAATCTTCCACACCTCAACAAGACTTAGGCCTAAAAGGACCCCTACCTCTCTCCATCATTTATGCCCATTTGAATAAAAAAACCTGTAGGTGTCACAAGCCCTTCTTTATGGGACTATTTAGGTAAAAAATGAAAAAAAAAGACATTTGGATGACTATTAATACATGAGCAGAACTGCCACACATGGCTGGGTACAAGTTTGATGTAGACTACAGAAGTGAACGTATAGCCAATCTAGAGGCCCACCATGATACCCAGATGCCTCCACATGCTTAGCATGCTAGAGCTGGACATGATACTTAGCACAAAAGCCACTGGATAGTGGATACTGCATGGATACTTCTAAGTTCTAAATGCACTCTATAGCATTAACACTTCTAATATCTATAAAATAAGATGCCTTGACAAGTTATACTAAATATCCGTGCATGTTAGAAACTTAATTAAATTTGATAAATAAACCTTGAGTAATAGCATTTAGCTTTAAAATCTAGATACAGACCAACAGAGCATGAGATATGCACATTTTATGGGATACCAACCCACATCCATGACAGATTTTAAGAAATGGAGTTGTATCCCTGTTTCTCATCCATATATATCCATGTCCGCATCTGTACCTAGGCATCATATGAGGCCCATGGCATAGTTTTCAAGGCATATAGGGCCCTAAGCGATTTTGGGCGACACTGGGGCACCTAGGCGACAAAAATTTTATAACATAAAAATTTGACTTTTGGCTAGTTTCCTAGTTTTATATACCATTCAACATGTATGTTAATTGAAAAAATAGCAATTCTCTTTATTAATAACATTAAATTTCCTCTAAAAATGTGGAAAATCATCACATCTAAAAGATAAAAATCTTTTACATATATTAATTTCATTATTTCAAAGATAATATTACTATAATAAGCATTTAATAGAGCAAATTCATATTAATTAGCAGCTAAAGAAGGTTATTAACTTTATATGCTAAATATTCAGGATGGGAAGTAAAATAGAAAAAAAAAACAAGGATGGGGTTTCTGTTTTATTTAATTAGAGAGAGAGAGAATAGAAAAAAAGAACTTTATTATTCTATTCTTTCTTTCTTTCTTTTTCTCTTCTCAAAACTCTTTGATCTTTTAAATTTCAATAGTAAAACATTAAAACAAAGTATAATTGATATATAGCATATAATAAAATGTATTAACACATACATTAATAAGATACAACAATATAAATGATATTATAAAAGGTGCCCGCCTTGTCATTTTTGTCGCCTAGGCGGGCGCCTAGTTGCTAAAAGTCAAGGCGTTCAAGGCGTTTGGGCGAGGCGCCCAGCCAAAGGCACCTAGGCAACGCCTTGACAACTATGGCCCATGGATGGTCTGGATTGGCCACATTTAGGAATCCTTTCACAAAGTTTTGTTTTGATATATTGCAGGTTAGTTATTGGTCTTAAACCCAAAAAAAGCCCGGGTGCCACATAAGAATTTCAGGATCATCTGTTTCTGCTTACTCCTTGCTCAACTTCTTGTCCTTGGTTCACAAACTTATGAGTTATGACCCATGAGACCCCCCCCCCACACCCACCCACACAAAAAAAAAAGAAAATAAGAAAAGTAAAGAAAAGAAATAACAATGAGTACATCTTAATGAAGATAATAAATGCTAGTTACATGGGCATCTTATTCGGCATGGGCAATTACTCTTTTATGTCTTTTCTTTTTTCCATCAACATCACCATTATCATTATTCAGAAACGGGGATTCAAATTCATTATTTAATGGCTCCTCAGATGCTTTCCTTTACATGCAAATTATGAATATGAGAATTAGGAAAATTAAGTGCAAACACCAGGAAAATAGCAACTTACTTCCTGAGCTTGAGCAGGGGTTGCAACCTTTCCAGTTCCAATGGCCCATACAGGTTCATAGGCCAAAACGACATTAGCCCAATTGGATATCCGTTCTGTAAGAGAAAAGAAATTAGCATGCAACCACAAAAAAAAGACATAAATTTAATATTTATGGAAAGAATGAAAATTTGTTGTTCCCCCATCGGTATGTCACAGACAGTACTTCCCTATGCATCATGCCCAAACTATCTTATATAAAATGAAGAGACTGGCTTGGCCATCTCATGTTCTCTGTGACTGGGAAATAAGGGGTATTGTTGCCTAAAGACCGAATGATCCAACCAAAATTTCCCCCTTCAAATTTACAATCCAATTAAGCAAATAGAATAACTAAAGGCTTAACATCAATAGGTTTTATCATCTTAAATCTGGAGCAGTCACTACTCACTACAGCAAACACAAAAAAGGTTCCAGAAAGAAATTAAGAGATGCACATCAAATCCATACAAAAACAGAAGTGGGGGATAACAGACATAAGGCATGAACAACCATAATATTGAATAATGGGGGATAGGCCAAAATATTTCCTCAAAACTAGAGAAGGCCTCAATTGATTAATTAAGTATAAACCAAGACAAATATTCACACATAATATTTCTCAAAGATTGCTTCTTGTCATAGAAGACACCTAAAGAGCATGATGATACCAGACAAGAACCTTCTTCCCAAATGGATTCAAAACCCCAATTAGATCAATAATTTAAAGCAAAGAGAAAAGAAAGTCTGTAAAAGATGTGCAGCTTGTATTGAGCAGGGTATGGGGGCACCTGCTATTCCTTTTGTCTGCGCGGAAACAACATTCAGAGTAGCTCCCGACTCTCGCTGCTCAAGAGTCTCACCAACACAAGCAATCACCTTCAAGCCTTGAGAAAGTGCATAAGCAACCTTGTCTCCAACAAACTGCAACAACATAGACAACATGGAGACAAATGAGTACTCTTGTGTCTAAGAGTTCACAAATACCTTTCGCATATAAGAAAAATTGATGAAGCACTGATAGATGGATGAATCCATAGGATTCAACTAAGGAAAATATTATAGAAAACCCAACAAAATGGAGTCATGAGACAAAGCCCCAACTCTTGGATTCAAGGAAAAGTTACGCTGCATTAATTTGTTTGGCATATAAAGGTAAAAAGAGTATGTTTTGTTTCCAAGATATACACTCTTTCTACCCCATGCTCATGCATCAGAAAAAACTGTCCTCCTGGACAAATCTGGAGGAGAACAAGAGCTGACAGCCATCTCTTGACCCATACTACTTGGGATGTGGTTGTGCTTTTCTGCACCACTGTTCATAAAAAAAGAGTAGAAAATAGATATTCATAATGCTCATGTACAATAACTTACCTCATTTGATTCATTTAATAATAACCTTCTTTCTGAATGACCAAGAATGACCCAAGGAATATCCAAATTGACAAGCATCTCTGCACTGTTAACAGGAGACATCAAGTCATCGACCTAATGTATGTTAAGAAATTGTAGTACTTGTTCCATAAAAACTCAACACCTATCACTTGGAACAATCTATGGCCATACAATGGGTAGCAGAATTAGACAACTAGTTTAGATGGTGAATCTGAAAGCAAACTGTGTTGAGATATCCAAGTAAAATAAGCACTTAAGCAAACAGAATGCAAACAAATATAATAGTTTTTAGATGTCTATATTGGCTCTATGCATTACAATACAGAAAAAACATGAAAACAACATTGCGAAACATATACTGCCTGTTAAATTAGAACCTGAAAATAAGGATAGACAGTTCCCATATATAACTGAAGAGTGAACAAAATATAAAACTTGCACTAAAATGACACTCTCAAAAAGAAGTGGGTGGATTAGTTAAGGAACATAAAGTTGACACAGCACCACTAAAAAATTATAACCTTAAATAAATACAGTAATAAATTGCATGCCAGTGATTGCAATTGAACTGAGACATACCTAACCTCACCGGTGAAAGCACCCCCTTTCTTCACCCAACAGTTTTGTGCAGCAACATGGAAGTCAGACCTCAATGAACTTTTTACCAAAGGGAGGAAAACAAATGGAGGGCTTACAACAACCTCTGCAGAAGTAACACATGCCACATCAACAACTTTAAGGTGTGTATTTTGAAATGCCCCAGCATAAAAACTTAAAAAGCATGTCTTTGTGTGCGCGTACACAGGCATGTGTGTGTATGTTTGAGAGATAGAGAGAAATGACATTCAGAAGTAAATTTGAGCTTGAGGACACTAAAATATTTTGAAAGTATCACAGCTTACTCAAACTAATCTTAGCATTTAGTTAACCCAAAGAGATCAAAATTAACTAAATCTGGGATTGCTGTGTTGAGACAAGACTGAGAGCAATTCCACATGCTTTGCAAGAGAAAGTCTTAACTCCCAAAATATGCACAGTAAACTAATACTTTCTAAAGATAAAGTGCCGGTAATAACATCATTTTCATTACTAGCAACTGCTTCAGGAATTCTGCCACCACTTAGCTTTCTTTTAGAAGATCAAGAAATATTCTTTCCTTGCTACAGATTGCATCACAAAAATGAATTACACAAGTAACTAATTAGTTTGTCCTTGACCTTCCAATTATAAAGTTAAAAAAAAGCCCATGTGCTGTCACGTCAACCTTGCTTGAGATCACTAAACAACAGAGCCAAGTGCTAAGTGACAAAAGACATAGTATGAGCGAACTCACTATTTAGTATGTTCTACCCATGATAAATTAATAGACTTAAATATGGATATTCTAAAAGGCAAAATGTAGATAATAAAAGTGAATTTACCCTATTTTTAATCCATATCTACCATACATGTACCTAAAACAATAGAATTTACCACTTGTTGGTAGAAGCCTAAGGTGATATAATCAAGTTTAACTTGAAAGTCAAATATTTCACATACAATGGCTATTTAACCTACATATGATGGAAAATAAAATGGTCTTAGATAACGTAAATAAATCATTTTCTAGTAAGGGATTTTGACAAAACTAAATATAAACAATAAATGGCAAAAGTAGAGAACTATTTCTTTTCTTTTTTTTTTTTGAATTTATTTGAATCTACTGAACTATTAATACACGTCAAGGATGTCATTTCCCCACTTCCCACATCCTCAAATGCGCACGAATTCAAAGAAATGCTGTTTATTACGCTGGTATGTAAGACTTGCATATTCCAAAATGAACAAAAGTAAAAAAAAAAAGGGTAGAAATTTGCGAAAACTCTAAAATAGCGAAATGAGACATTAAGAGCTTTGCAGGGCGAAACTGCAAAATAAAATAACTATCAGATAAAAGGAAGGCCATTTCGCCCACTCACCCACAACATCTCCGGACGGTGCCTCCGCTTCATTAAGTGTGGAGACAATCTTCTTCACTTCTTCGGCAGTTCCATTCTGCACAGAGAACCAATTGAAGTTTTGGTCCATAATAAAAAGAAAAAGCAATGACTTTCTTAGAATTTAGACGCAACTCAATTCCAACCACACATCCGATACAGTGTAATTCACCATCCATGGATTACGAAGTTCTCCAGCCAAGGAATGGTAATAGAGAGTCTATATTTCTAGTGAAGAGCACACGTAATGCTTCCTCGAATAGTATACTGGTAAAGGATAAAAAAATTGAAAACTTTAAAACTTAAGCTTTCATGCTAGAAACATCAGGCAGCGAACACCCAAAAAAACTACAATCACCAGATCTGGAAATACACTTTAAGTACGAGGTCTGGCAAACGGCATTTAACATAATCGCTGTAACTTCACACATGGATTGCTAGATCGGATTCATATACTGGAATCAAAATCCATAAAACGATAAAAGAGGAAAATGAAAGGGGGAAAGATACAATAATCAAATCCTTTTACGTGCGATCAATGATGCAAATCACAGATCTATCTCAGTAACAAAAGTTATAAACTTGACTAATTTCATTGATTTTCCAGAATTGATGTACATCAAAATAGAATCCGAAGGATATATAAGACATAAAAAAGAATGAAAAGATCTAATGGATCAATGATCAACTTACGCATTTCCAGTTACCACCAACGAAAAACTTTCTGCCCATTTTCGAAGAAAACAAAGGACACGAGGAGTCGAGGAAGAAATGAAGAAGTACACGATAAACAGAGAAAGGTAGAGAGCACCGCTTGGATTATGAGAAGATGAGATATATAGAAAGCGCTGAGTGCATACAAAATTACTATAATACCCCATCTTCTCGGTTTATGTAGTAATAATATGTCTTTATCGCCCTTGTTGAGGAATTAGGATTAGTCCGCGAGGACCGCGACTCACGACTTTGCTCGGAAAAACCATATGGGCTAAGGGGCAATTTTGCCAATGGATACAGCCCGTGTTGGGTGTGCCGCGAACGTACACTTGTGAAGAGTGGGATGACGAAGGGCCCGAGCCCGAGGCTCACGGTTTCGACGACTTTTCCATCGGTTTGTGGTTCATTTCATCCAGACTGTATAGCCCACAGGAATAACAGCATTACAAAAGCTGGTGACTTTGGGGAAAGCTCAGCTGTGAGTCACACATGTATGTGTTGAGCTTTAAAATTCTAAAATACACAAAAAACTTGCACTTATTTCGGTTAATTTATTACTCGAAATTGCCACGAACGCTATGCGTGAGAATACTTGAAAAGGAACAGGTAGGAAGCATGCGTTTGGCGTTTTGTTTTTTAAAGCCGGGGAAGCATGCGGTTTGTACTCTTATAATCTCTTATTCAATATTCACATTTCATAGATGTAACATGAGAGATCGAGGGTCAATTCTTAGCCAAGAAATATGAGAGATTGAGAGTCATAATTCTAATTCCTTACCAAAAAAATGCATTGTTGCTAATTGCAATTCTGCATTGAATGAAGGATTTAAAACTCTACTCGTCACAAGACAATTTTTAATGTTAATGGCTTTTTCGTAAGATGAAAAAAAAAAACCAGAAAAGTACGGATATATTCAATGCAGAAATCTGATTGCCACTGCACAGTTATAAATATTCAAAACGTCCAAAAACCACATCCTATGCACCCATACCCGCCTGTGAATTGACATCAATTCCGAGCTGGCACCTACCCCAAATATACTTTGAACCTACAAATTCTGACACTGGGTGTATCGGTCATTCTCCCAAAAAAAAGTCATTCTCCCATTCATATTTGTTGTGACCATATTCACAGTGCTCCCTTGCGACACATATGCACCGGTGATGGAAATTAAAAAGTAGTTTGATGTTTTGATTTTATTTATTGCAGGAGAGTGCTGCAACCATGGTCGCAGCAGATTTTCTCGTGCCATTATTAATCCTTTAATATTTAAAATAAAGATTCGAATTATTAAAAAATCAATGACACTTGTCATAATATCAAGGCTAAATTTGGAAGTGCATAAAAACAAGTGTTTATTGGGCTGGAACCACACAAATAAGCATTTATTTACATTTAAGAAATAAGTTCAAAAATAAGTTTTATTTTGAGAATAATCATTTTTTTTTGTCAAAAGGAGAAGGAATTATATATTTATATAGAGAAAGTTACATGAGGGGATTGTCTCGAGTTGTAGCGAACTCGGATTAGTCCTTTACATGACAAGTAAGCTAAAATGTGTGCTGCCTGGTTCTGTTGCCTTACAATATGTGCAAAATGTATATAATTAAAAGAGTTAATAAGATGTTTCAAGTGACTTTTATGTAACTGTTCCATCCAGTGAGCAATTCGATCTGTTCTTGCAAAATATACTAAAGCAGCATTGTCTATATATACCAAAAGACAAATAATACCATGAGAGAGAGTTGTTTGTAGTCCACTTAACATGGCTCGAATTTCAGCGTCATAGCTTGAGAGTGCCCATGAAGGTCCTCCTTCTGCAATGGTGTAACTTTCCATGCCATGTTGGATGATGAAGCCTCGTCCTACAGCACCTGAAACTGGATCATAAGAGCCACCAGTAAATAAACAAGGCAAATGACTAGAAGATGGTAGTCGATGTTGAGGTGGCTTGCCGTCATTTGTTAGATGCTCCCATTGGAAGGGCATTGCTAAGTTAACCACTTGCATGGGATTCGAATCAATATTTTCGAAAATTTTCTTGTTCCTTGCATCCCATATATGATAGATGATCAAAGCAAATTTGCCAATGTTTGTTATTGCTTGCTGCTTACACAATATTGAACGCATCCCTGTAAACCAATTAATGATGATAGTGTGAATCAAGTCCTGACCTATGGTAGAGGGGTTTAAGCCAATTTGGGCACCGAACCAAACAACTCGTGTGAATGGGCACTGAAAGAGGAGATGATGAAGTGTTTCTTCTTGTACTTTGCAAAAAACGCAAAGCCGATCTTGTTCATTTAACCAGGACAAACACTTTTGTTTTGTGAGTAAACCGTCCCAGAGGACTTTCCAAAGAAAAATTTGGAATCTGTATAGCACTTTTATCTGCCATAGTAATTTCCAGTTAAAATATGTGAAGGATACTGAAGCCCCTAAAGATGAGAAGAGTTGATATGCTGATTTGACTGAATAGATGCCTGATGCACTGTGCTTCCAAACTAGTAGGTCGCTGGTTTGGCTAGGCTTTGGTGTCACTTCTAGTATGTGTTGGATAGTGGAAGCATGAAAACATTCTTGAAGTCAAGGGAGGTTCCAAGATCCATCAGAATTTATTAGTTTTGAGACTTTCAATTCAAGCCGTTGTGATTGAAATGTTGAGGTTGGTGATGGAACTTGTCCTGGCAGTGTAGGAATCCAAGGGTCGTGGTAGGTTGATATTGCTGTACCATCCTTGATTGACCACAGTAAATGGGTCTTAGCAAAAGCGCCACCTTCAGGCTTGTTGCCACCATTGTGAATTGTATATGCCTTTTTTTGCAAAGAAGATAGAGGTGTTTGGAGAATACCTGGACTTGATCTGCTTTCTCCATAAACCTTGGCTATCCATTAGTAGTCTCCATATCTGCTTACTAAACATTGCTTGATTCATAGAGTCAAAAGATCTAAAACCCAAACCTCCGTGGTTTTTTGGTAGACATACCTTCCTCCAAGCAATGGTATGAAGGGAATTTTTGTTGCAATCCCCCCACTAGAAAGGTTCCTATCATTTTGTCAAGGGATGAGGTAGTTGACTTTGGTAAAATAGATGTTGACACGGGGTATACAGGGATTGCTTGCAGAATTGATTTAACTAATGTGGTTCTACCCGCCTGTGACAATAACTTGGAGCTCCAAGAACCAATTTTTCACTATACCCTTTCAATGACCTCCTTATGAGAGTCACAGAGACGGATGTTTGTTCCAACTTGAGTGCCAAGATATTTGGATCCCAGCAGGGGTTCGAAAGACTACAATATTTTAACCAGAGTTTTAACCTGAGTTACATCCACCTTACAGAAGACTGCAATATTTTGACCAGATATGGCTTTGAAAGACTGCAATATTTTAACCAGAGTTTTAACCTGAGTTACATCCGCCTTACAGAAGAGGATGCAGTCATCTGCAAATATAAGGTGAGTGATGGGGGAATTATTCCGACTAATTTTCACTCTTTCAAATTGCCTGGCTGTAGAGGCTTGACATAACATTTGTGTGAGAACTTCCATACTTATGATAAAAAGGTGAAGAGAAATGAGTTCACCTTACCTGATCCCCGATTCAATTTGAAGTGGTCATATGATTCCCCTGCCAATTTAATGAAAAAATAACAGTAGATATGCATTGATAGATCATATTACATTATTTGGTTGGAAAATGTAACAATGGATATGCTTCTTTTTAACAACTTATTCAATAACTGCTTATTTCCTTTACAACCTATCTTGGCCGGCCATGTTATTTTAAAAATACTTATACTACCTACTGTGTTAAAATAAGTATTTTTTCATCATTTAATGCTTATAAACGCTTATTAGAATAAGCACATTTTTCAAATACGCACTCCCAAGCTTAGTAATGAACCAACTTACGTGTCCTAGTGAGATGTCCTCTTAAAACTGCAACATCTCTATGTTAATAAGATTAGGGCCCATAATAAGATGGGCTCCATTTGAGACAATCAGCACCCGCATTGTAGCCGAGCTCCTGAGAATATCCTTTGGTACAAATAGGATAATACCGCATTAACGTGACCCAAGGTGGTACTTCCTATCCCCACCTTCCTTCCTTTGTGGTTGTGAATTCATTGAGCGTTATCCATGTTTGCTTTCTGTCAGTTGTCACCTTCCATTCTCACAAGTCACAAATCCCAACCACCCTTCCCCTCTAAGCACACGTTCATAGATTGTAACATTTAATCTAGGTCTCTTTTGGGAGGGCTTAGGCTTTGGCTGAGTTGATTTCAAGAAGCCATTAAAAAAGTCTCAACAAAGAATCAAGGAAATGAGTGGACAACAATCTGGGCTCTCTAAGAGTTTTCATAAAAAATTTGCATATCGACTTTCCAGGTGAACCCTGCCTCACAAAGAGAAAAGCAACCAAAATTAATCACTTAGGCCTAGCCCAAACCCACCATGAGTTGGGTTGGATTGAGCTTGCATTGTGCATGGATTTGTAAACGCAAACCTGACTCATGTTGGGCCCGGTCTGAGACCAAAGTTTATATCTTTGGGTTGGGCCTGGGTTAACTCTCAACCCGACCCAACCCGCCCAGCTTGCAAACCTACTCTGAAAATCCCTTTACGTATTACATGTATGCGGGGATTGATGATGTATCTCCACTTATCCTAATAGAGTGACCCCAATAGCTTGGATCTGCTATCCACTACTTCACAAGCCTTCCCATTAGTCTACCCACAAGACGCTACAGATGCCTAGATGAATCTTGGTTCCGCCTCATCATAGTGCATACATGTACATTCATATACAAGTAGATTTCACTCGTTGATAAACAAAATAAAATAAAATACATTTCATTTTATATGATTTACACAGGGACCAGATTAAATTGTGGTGTAGCCCAATGAATAAAAAATAAATAAATTGTGGTTCAGCCTGTCCCGTAAATTTAGACCAACAACATTTTATGTCCATTTGGTTTTGAACTATGCTGAACCAGTGGTGGGATTTCCCATCGACAATGATTGTGTTTGGCTCCTTTCAATGTATCGTGGTTCATTAGAGCCCTTACTCCTTTTGTTAGTTTCCTCTCCCATCTA